TAATCAAATCGTCATAGTTCTAAATCATTTTTACCCGACTGCGCAATGCGAGAGCGCAATGCGTGAGCACGAAGCGCGACGCGCAGACAGGGTATTATAGTGTTTAACAGTCTAAAGTATGTAAGTTCCTTTGTGGCACACTAAAACTAAACGCGTGGACCGATTTTGATGATTCATACGTCAATCGATTCGTCTTAATCATGGAAGTGCTTCTATCTCTATAGGGAATCTATTTCTCTAGGGAAAATCATCATAATCGATTTAGCTTTTAGGGCGCGAAAGCGTAGCAAACAAACTCAATTTCGCACCTATAATATTATATTATACTAGTGAGGGCGAAATTTTTCAAGTAAAAATTTTCTGTATGTTTATAAATCAAGCAGAATATCCAACGATTTTGAGATTAATTATTGAAAATGTAAAAAGTAATGTAGCTACCTTATGGTGAATGAATTTGCGTAATCGGTTCAGTAGTTTGACAGATTATTTGTTACAAACATACAAGTCTTGTCTCTTTATAATATTAGTAAAGATAATAAGAATAATATTTAATTGATGAAAAATATTTAAAAATACACTGAGTAATATGTTACTCAGCATTTTTGGTAAAAAGTGGTCCGTTATTCGCTAATTTATACATAGGTACTTATTCTTATTTTGTTTATAGCCAATTGCAATAACTACTAGGCTAGTAGCAGCCTGATTGATAGGTGGAAGTACTCTTTATTCGAGCTTTACACTACAAATAATAGACCAAAGGTAGACCAGAAAGTCCTGCGACCTGTAACTGGTGAACGCATTAAAAGAGAACGCCGAAGATATATCTCATATGTATAAAATTCTCGTTTCACGGTGTGCGTAATTGAACGTATCCGAAATGGCTCGACCGATTTTCGTGAAATTTTATATGCATATTCAGTAGGTCTGTGAATAGGACAACATCTATTTTCATCCCCGTAAATGTTAAGGGTGGTCCACCCTTAATTTTTTATATTTTTTTGGCCATATTCTTTTGTTTTTATTTTTTATGATACATCATACAAAAATACATACAACCCTAAATTTTCACCCTTCTACCACCAACCCCTATTTTTTATGGCGGTACGAAGTTTGCTGGGACAGCTAGTCTAATATGTATTACCTTATTTGCCAACATTTGAGAACATGTAGTGTAAGTTCTCAAATTCACTACTTAATTATGTATGATTAGGCTCATTCACAAAGTTGACAATGCATTAATTGGACAAAAATAATTTATCAGACAAGTCTGTCGAGCAATTCTGAAATAATGTACCGCTAAACATAAAATCAATATTTTTTTCCAGTAAAATTTTCTTTAGATTTAAAGATCTAGCAGTTAAATGCTTAAAAAATAAAAAATATCCGAGAACATACTAGAAGAAATTCGACATGGATAATTAGACCCGCGGTAGCATAATGGACGGTGCATCTGCTCGGATAGTGGAGGGTGCGGGTTCGAGTCCCGTCTGCTACCTGGCCCGCGTGAAATTTTTTGTAGTAAAAGGACATTGTTCAGCGTCCATACATAGTTAGCCTAAGAACCAACAATCATGAAATATTATTTTCTAGGTTCAAAATCGTAAGTAAATGACTGTAAAAACAAAGATTATTGACGGACACTTCTGAGAACTTAAATTATTAGGAAAACTATCATTTTTTTTGAGGTTATGTTTAATATTCAATGAAACATAGGTCAACCTATGAATTCAGTATGAACTCAGTATGAAGTGAATTAATATTACAACTAATTCATTTTATTCGGTGCGAAATTAAAGAATGACTATTATGAAAAACTTGGTTAGGTAGGAATCATGAATAAAATAAAAACTGTAGTTTTGCTTCTTATTTATTGACTATTTTTCACATAATTGTATCATATTGTTTATTGTAATTATTTGTATATCACATGTATATTATGTAAATATGCAGCGTGAATGTGTATCAGGTTTTCTTCAATAATTTGGCAGTATGATCCTCTCAGGATATTGTGGTTGTGGCACAGGTTCACTAGCACTTGGTAATAAGGGCGCTGCTCTTTGGTAACATCGATGGCATATTAGATAGCCGAAATAGTTAAATTAAAGGAAAAACAATCGCAAATAAACACACACAACAGGTAATCCGAAACGAGAATGCACTTTCCGGTTTAATATACTACTCTTTGGAATGCACGAATGCCACAGATTACTACAAATGCAAACTGCATGCACCACAACCACGGAGTAACTTCACTTGACAACAGTTTGTCCTTGTCATGCTTAATAAGGAATGAAAAGGACAGACTGATGTCATGTTTTAAAATAGCAAATACGAATAGCCAAGTGAAGTGCCGGCGTAAGAAAGAAAGAGTGTTTTGTTTGCAGCGCTGCCATAGATTATACACATAAAATGGTATTTATTGTCTCAGATTATTTTTTAACTTTTTAATTTAGCTTTCTTAACTGGAAGTGTCCGTCACAATCTAAATACTGATAATTATCGCAAAAAATATACTAACAATTATCATAAATGCCAAATTGGTGTTGGTTCTTAGGCCAATTTTAACATTGTCCTTTTCTTAAGTTTTACACAAATAGAGCAGTTAAATGCTCAAAAAATAAAAATGTAACAATAAAATCATATTTAATTTTCAGACAAGCGTCACAGCTCTCTTACGCTCGGTTGCAAACAACTAAGAAAAGAATAGTTTTCAATACAGAAATAGGTACCGTTTTCAGCATTTTGTAGTGGTTTCTGGTGGATTTTCCAATAATTTTCTTTCATCAAGCTCCCTCAACCTTAGCCAACTCAAACCTCAGTCCTCAAAATTCTGAAGAGAAAAGGTAGACCGCTTAACTGAGCCCTCGCCTGCGGGATAAAGGGTGTGAGGGAGGACGAGAACGGGGTCTTAGTTAAGCGGTCTACCTATAGTTCACAAATAATGCTCCGTCATATACATGATAATTGCATTATATAATAAACCAGTAACATTTATGAGCAGTGAGCACCGGTCGGTATAATTTTTGTATGTTCCGTGTTGTATGTTTTAAATTATACTTAGGTAATATTAAGATACTATTATATTTTCTAAATTAAATGTTACATCTACTATCAATAAAGTAAAGTAAACCATTGACATTCCCAATAATTATGAAATAAGGCTAGTTTATGACGGGTGAACAGAATTCATTGTACGCAAATATAGCTTTATATTTTTGTTTCGTAATAATGTTCCGATTGGTATTAAACTTGAAAATAATACCTAATAATTCAATTCTCTAATAATGAAAAGAAAATGCCAGTAGCTTTTAAATTGTCACCAGTGTACCCAGCCATGACTATACTCAGTTAAGGTTTAAGAATAATAAGATTAAAAAGTTAACAACATAGTTTAAAAGATAAAATAATTTAAAAATTCAACTAATTAACATATTAAACTTAACTGTCACGTGATTAACAATGAGTCATGTCTAAGCAAATGGATATTTACCTATTCTCTGCTCACAAAGTTGACAAAACAGGTTTAAGTACAGCGATCTCGACTCCACAGTCCCTTCGACGTGAATACAAAACATACTGATAAATTAGAATGAAACGCAGTTGATGGTTGCAATAATGCCTAGTTATTTAATATGTCTGTAGTGAAGCTGTTTTTTTTCATTAATGTTATTTTAATAGTGTAGTAGACAGTCAAGGACATTAGTATGCTTCCACCTCTGGCCTGGTTGATTTTATTCTACTTATTTTTGAGATAATATTATATCTTAATCTTTTGACAAAAGCTTCGTGTAATGCAGGTGCTCCTTGTAAAGCTCAGTTTTTGGCATTATTGAAATAAATAGAATACTACTTAATACCACTTACATCAAAATATTATTCATTTATTTGTAAATAAAATCACATTACAAAAATAACATATTTGATAAATTAAAACAATCTTTAAGAAAACATTTGTTTTACAAATACTTAGCTATGCAGGAGACCTTTTTAGTACTTATCTTTCCGCGTCATTAAAACATAATTTATCTATCATAACAAAAATATGCATAAATATATGTGCTATTTTACTTAACATGTGATATTCTTTGGTAATCTGCCTATTCTTATGTTTTCTTTTTGTAATAAATTGTACCGAGGGCTCTCTAAGGTTTAGTAAAATATAATCAACATAAAAGATAAAAGTCTTGAAATTAATCATTTAAGTATCTTTTAGTCATTATTCTAACAACTATCTTTGATAATCACAATGTAAAAAATAACATATGAAAAATATTTGAATGAAAGGATAGGCAATGACTTATCTATTTTACCATACATACATCATACTCATCGTAGTGATTAATAAACTTCTAAAACAAGACATTTTGTATTCAAGTAAAGGAAGAAATGATAAAGTTGAATCTTTAATTTATATTCAAAAAAGGTGATATCATTCGTGCTAAATACCTATTTGCATACCTAGTTTACAATCAGTATATTTGTATGTAGGTAGGATAGTGGGTAAGTACAATTGGTAAGGTCAAGCACATAAGAGGGGCTTGTTGAGAGCATGAGAGAAAATATGATTTTATACTAAGTAGGTAAACAAACAAAGTTTCTTGTGGAACCTGTTTGTAGCCGCCAGTTAAAAAGTTAACTTAAGTTTCTGTTGGTTATCCATAACGAAATAAATTTAAAAGAAAATTTCTCTAAATAACTATGATAATACATATTTCAAGCACTGTTATTAATATTATTTGAGATTTGGGGAATATGTAATTCCTGGCGTAGTACTTATAGTACCTACTTATCTCTTTTAGCCTGGGAGCTTTCAAGAACTTCGAAATATCCCCTTTTTAATGAGCTTTGAGAGACTCGATCTCTTTCGCGTCAATATGTCAGTCTCAGATGATCATTACTTAAGTTTAAAAAGTTTAAAAATCAGTCAGAGAGATGTTAAAGTGTTCGATGCTCCCGTTTACTGGTTGCGCACTATGTGAAATATCTTTATCTTCCCACAGGAAATGGTTAGAAGAGATAGCATTAGCGCACAAGAAGGGGCGCAAGCCGTCGCTTCTGCGTGCTATGACAAAGGCCTTCTGGATGAGCTACGCGCCGTCTGGAATAATGTTCCTGGTCCAGGCACTCGTTCTCAAGTGAGTAATAATAATTGACGTTATCATTGCATTAGGCACATTAAGAAACAGCTCTGGTTTAGCCGTTAAACGCAGTTTTTTTCCAACAATTCATGCGCAATACATGTAGTCATGTACAGATGATCATATTCTTATTTTAAGCACGTCTATCACTGTTTATTTGGGAATATTTATAATTTGAACTTTAGCACATTGGAATTAAAAAAACTGTGATAAACAATTTTAAGTTTATTTAAAGACATTGAGCCCATACATACGCGTATAAAGTACCTGCGCCTTATTTTATTTTGCTAAAACTCTTTTCTTTGAACAGAAAAATAATGTATTTTTCGTTATATTGTTAATTTAAGCATTAAACTGCTAATATCTTTTTCCCCAGGCCATTCCAACCCGTAGCGTTGAGTATGATGTTGACCTATTGGGAGCCAGGGTCCAACATGACGTACGAGCAGGCGATTTACTGCGCGTCAGCTGTCATCCTCATGTCGTTGTTCATCGCATTTCTGAACCACCATGGAACCTACTCCACCCAGCAATTCGGCATGAAAGTCCGCATAGCAACCTGCTCCTTAATTTACAGAAAGGTCAGAGTTATTTAATTCCCCAATACAAATTCTAATACACTCGACAAATAAACCGATAGCATTGTAGTTCTATAACAATTTTGCGAAAATCAATTTTATAAACCGAAACAATACTGTCCAAGCATTGAAATAAAAGGTCTCACGCACGTAAACTACTCGCATAACTCATTTAACTGTGCTTTGTTGAGTATTTTCGGTATCGAGGTACCTATTTACCTAAGTATAAATATCCATCATGTAAAAAGTATGTGCATAGGTAAGAGTAAGTATTTAAACTCGATTTCGAATTTTGTAGTAGAATACGACACTTAAGTTTTCCAGTCTAGGCTGCTGTAATATCATGCACTATTGAGTTTAAGCAGAATTGCTATTGCGTTAATAGAACACTCCTCCTCAGTAATTTTTAATTTCAAATGTTTCAGGTCATGCGCATGAGTTCTGGTGCATTGGCGCAAACTACGGCTGGTCAAGTTGTCAATCTCCTCTCGAATGACGTTAACCGTTTCGACTACGCATTCATCTACGCTCATTTCATCTGGCTGCTGCCCCTGCAAGTTGTGGTCGTGTGTTACCTCATTTACATCAAGATCGGATACGCTGCGATCGTCGGAGTCGTCGGTATCGTTTTACAAACAATACCAGTACAATGTGAGTTGTTTTCTTAACGTTAACTCACGAATTGCAAGTAGTGAAATTGTTTTTAAAACAACACAATAGGGATGCTGACGGAGTTAAGTAAACCAAATTCTATTTAGTGCGTCAGTTAGATTATCAAAAAATTATGCACTTCTATTTTTTCTTTTGTCAATCAACCAACAAATTACAAAGAAAAAGCGCGTCAAAGTTTCACAGAGTGGGGCCTGTGACGTCACTAGAACGTAGACGTAGACGTAAGTGAAAATTGTACCAAGACCTGACGTCATGTGACAAAAATACCTGTCCAATACATTTTGATTATTTACCTGATAGACAAAGAAAAAAGTTAGTCGTCATCCCTGTTAATGGATGATGATATTTGCTCTTGATCAACGCACAGTTTGTTGGACAAATGTATTGTCTACTTTTGTCTACAAATAAAAATAAAAAAAACACCAAATCATCTTTAATGTTCATCCATGCAGTTTATTTAACTTTTTTATATCAAATATGTTTATTAAAGGACAATGTATTATGCCCCTTAGCGTATATGAGCAAACTGGCAGCCAGACTCAGGATGAAAACCGCATGCAAGACGGATGAGCGCGTGCGCATTATGGACGAAATAATTAGTGGCATGCAGGTATGTTAAATGATTTTTAATTACTTATAATTAATTTGTCTATCATGACTAAATGGTTGTTTCAATTTCATAATTTAGTAAATAGATTTTCATAATGCAATGCAATAGGCCATTAACAATAACTGTCACTCACGCGTATAGTGATAAAATCATGCTTCCTCCATCATTACACTCTAGCGGAGCGGAGAGCAAGTTCCGCTTGAAATTACGCTAATAAAAAATTTAAGTACCAAAGTACTTAAAAAATGCTAACTGTGAGCCGACCACTGCTAACAGTACAGAGACCCGAGCTCGGACTTTGACGGCTCCGTAATCGTATCATCATCGTAAAATGTTGTATGGAAAGAGCCAGAAAGATCCCGTTTGTTCTTACGTCCGGTAGGGGCACTGCTTAGTTTTAATAGACTTTGACGATACGAAAGTCTAAGACAGTGCTTGGGTATCTGACTTTCTTGTAACAAATCACGCAAAGTGAACAGTTAATGTTATTCAATTGCAGAAAAAACAATCTTTAGTATTTATAAACACACACGTAAATACATATATAAAATATTCTAATCTTCATTAACTTGAATCGGTTCAATCTACTTTAAACTTACATCGGTCACTTAATGTACCTAACCCCTTTAATTCGAGCTGTTGTGTCCGTATTCCGGTTGGCAATCACGAGCACTATGCACACACAATATGGCTAGAATAAGCTGGTTATCTGGGGTTATCATTATCAATCACATAATACACATTCAATCTGTTTGGGATATATCCGGAGCGCGGTTGTACAACAATATACCCTCACATATAAAAAATGTTGACTCATTTTATACATTTAAGAAAAAATTAGCTGAATACTTCCAACTCAAAATATAGGTGTAAATAAACTTACTACCTATTGAATGTATAAAATGGTGCCATGTACCTACATTCTTTAACCTATGTTATTACTACTTACTACATTACAATGACTACAATTTTTATAATATCTACCTACCTAACATGTACAAAACTTAAATTTGTAAACTTATACCTACATATTTACATATAATTATCACAATTAGGTACTACTACACTAGTTATTCTTACTACTTATTTTATTATTATGTGTACCTACCTACATTTAATATGACGACGACGAACCACACCTAACTAATGTAAAACCTAACAAATGTTTGTCTTTGTGAATAATAAAGATCTTTAAACCTTTTTAACCTTATTTATATAGGTACATTATATTATGATAAGTTCTTAAAATAATTTAATTTTAAATGAAAGATATCAAAAGCATTTTAATGGAAACCTACTAAGCTTCCGACCGCGACTTCGTCCCGTACCCCGAGCACAAACTTTCGCAGATCCGTATTTGTTTCGCCATCGCCAATGTATTTTTGGAAACTACGCATCCGGACGTAAGAATAAACTAGGTTCTTCCATAGAAACTTTGACAATTACAATACGAATACTTTCTCGCTAGTTGTTTGTGCGCGGGGTACCGTCAACTTTAGATACGCATAGCTTTCTTATTTTTTTTCCCTAAAAATCTTTTACCAAGTTTTAGAAAACTTCATAATAAAAAAATCGGTAAAGTTTGGTTTGGTTTAGTTAAATTTCATATTCGTTTAGAGCTGTAGTTTAGGATATAGTTTTTGTTGGCAGCTTGTATTTATGATTTTCTTCATATAATTAAATCTTTCATGATAATTTATAATTCTAATAGTGAAAATTTTGTTGTGTAGTTTTTTTAATAATAATAATAATAAATATTTCCGACACTCACACCAATTAGCCTAGCCCCAAAGTAAGCACTATAAGGCTTGTGTTATGGGATGCTAGGGTAACGGATAGAATACATACACTGTACATATATAAGTATATTTATTTAAATACATATTAAACATCCATGACTGGAGTACAAATGCTCGTATTCATCACACAAACATCTGCCCCCACCGGGATTCGAACCCGGGACCTCTCGAGTCGGCGACAGCCATGAAACCCGGCGTACAAACCACTCGGCCACGGAGGTCGTCAAGGAGGTGGAGGTGGAGTCGAGGAGGAGTTTTTGGTAGAACGCGCTAATCTCAGAGAATATTGGTCCGATTTGAAGAAATATTTTTGTTATGCATAGTGCATTTATCGAGGAAGGCTCTAGGTTATATAACATCACGCTACGATGAGTAGGAGCGGCGTATTGAAAAGAAATGTTGCAAAAACGGGTAAAAATGTTCCATTTCTGAGCTTCCGTTGCGTGCGCTGGGTAAACAGTTAAAGTTACACAAAAAACATGTATGACGAAATTGTTGCTCTTTCTAAAGTAAAAAAAGTCTGCAACAGCATATGTACCTTTTAAGTTTGACTCAGTATAACCTTTTTCCTCAAATTAACGTGGGTAAAACCGCAGTGGACCTCTAATTGTGACATAACTGTAATAGAAATTTTCAAAGCGTTCCAGTAGTTTCGGAGCCTATTCAATACAAGGAAACAAACAATGGAATCTTTCCTCTTTATAATATTGAGTACAGATTAATACAGTTTGTTTTTTCTTAAAAAACATACTGATGTTTTGTTACAGGTCATCAAAATGTACGCCTGGGAAAAGCCATTCGAGCAAGTGGTAGCTTTAGCTCGTAAAAACGAGATCAAGTGCATCACTTCCGCTTCCTACTTGCGCGGTGTCTACCTCAGCTTCATGGTGTTCACGGAGCGCCTGTCTCTCTACATCACCCTTCTCTCTTACTCCCTATTCGGGTATCAAGTCACTGCTGATATCGTAAGTTCAACATATTTAATTAATCATCAATAATTATTTATTAGAGATGTCTCGCCTTTTCCAATCATAAACTGTCGTGAACCCATTCTAGGCAAATTATTTCAAAGCACTTAATGTTTTATGTGAGTCAAATCAAACTGCATATTATATGTATACAAGTGGATGTGTGAATTCTGTTTATAGTTTCCACCTGCGTAACTCTCTCACAGTTATTATCACAATTGCGCAGGTGCAAATTCTTTACTTCGCAATATGCGCGTTAACTAGTTTTCCACTTTCTGGATATGGTATGAAACAAACATCAAAAAACTGTTGATAGACTTAGATAATAAAGAAACCTTTGAGATATTTAAAGTCTTTAGAAAAATAATTTTATTTATTTTTTTAAGCATTTAACTGCTAGATGTTTAAATCTAAAGAAAAGTTTACTAGAAAAAAAAATCCACGCGGACCAGGCTATGTAGGCAAAAGTATTCATTTGACATTGTGGGTTACCTACAATGCGAAGAGATGGCGCTGCCTTGCAGCTTAAGGCTAGGAAAATTTCGACGCAGCTAATAGGGCCGTGGTAGCATAATGGTCAGTGCATTCGACCGAATAGCGAAGGATGCGGGTTCGAGTCCCGTCCGCTGCCTGGTCCGCGTGGATTTTTTTTCTAGTAAACTTTTCTTTAGAAAAATCCCTGGTGAATTACGTTAACTTATAAATCAACCGGATCATCCTTATGCTCGGAGTATCCCTGAAGGACCGCATCAGAAATGATGTAATCCGACAGAGAACCAAAGTCACCGACATAGCCCACCGAATTGATTAACTCACGTCCAAATATTACCTACATTATAGACATTTTCAGGTATTTCCCTTGGCGCAATTCTTCAACACTCTACAAGGGACCCTATCGATTATAATGTCGAACGCTGTTTCGTTCTTAGCTGAGGCCATGATATCGGTGCAACGCCTCGAGGCGTTTATGCTGCTCGGTATGTCAGGCCAGGATTCGGTTCTCTCTTGTCTCTCCCTATTAAAACTAGCTAGTCCGTTATATAACAATGACTCCGCGCTATCATTAACAGAATAATGCCTGGCCTACACTTCGCCATTGCTTCTCTCTTTCTCTTTCTCGTCTTTTTCTTTTCCTAAGCACTTGTGAGTCCTAAACATAGCAATGACTCAGCACTTTGCATAACATAATAATTTCTTTCTTCCATAATTTTTTAACTAATTCCACAGGCACAAAATTTTTTTTTAGTTTTTTTGCACAATAATGGTGAAGGTAATAATTAACTTAACTGAGTTCAATTGAACAACGATTGTAACAGAAAAACACTGAGGTGGAGCCAAATGGGTCATCTGCCTAATAAAAACATGGGCAACTGATTTCGTTAATTTCAATTACCTGTATTTACTCGTCAGCATCGGAAAGAAAATTTAATGAAGATACATATTATGGTTTTCGCAGGCTTTCCCTTTGGCTCAATTATTCAACGTTCTTCAATTTACACTATCAATCTGCACGCAGTCTTCTCTTGCTCAAATGATGGAATCACGTACGACTATCAGACGTATTGAAGCGCTCTTATTGTTGGGTATGAGACAAAAAATACTGTACGTTATGGTGGTACCAATATGTTTGTTTAATGATATTATGTAGAATGACTACATGACATTTGATTTTTACGGGAATAATGACAATAAAAACATGATGACTACTGACATTACAAAATAAATTAAGAAGCCAATATTCCGTTAAACTAACATGCATGCTACACTATCTCCGGTTTCTAACAACGCTATTAAACATATATTATTACTGAATTATTTAATAATTAAACTAATGGGCTATCGCATCAAAAATGAAATATGAAATAAGATAAATATTAACAAATATTTTGATAGAATGCTAATTTCCTAGGAAAGTTCCTTAAATATTTTATCAACATAACTTCTAACTTCTAGTAGATTTAGTCAATTACCTAATAAATTCCCTTTAGTTTTCTTGTTTTCTTTTGTTATTCATTGTTTATATGATTTTTTTGTTATACATAATTTCAGTTCTAATAATATAATTGATATGCCCTTTCAGGATCCATATGTTGACTTGACTAACACTACCAATCATGTATATCCGTATAAGATGCAATAAATGAATAAGTTAAAAAATCTATTCAATAGTACTCAATTAATTTTTTATGTAAATAGGTAGATGAGTACTTTCAATTACAAAGTAACAATACTTAATATTTATGCTATAGAATAATCATGCAACCATTCTTTAAGCACGACATTCTTGTAATTTACATACATACTCATACAATGTTCGTTCACAATTCGTATCAGTAATGAAAAAGCTTAAAGTTAAACTAATAATTATTTAGTTTAACTTATTTAATCAATCATACCAATCAAATTATTGATTTCCTTTGAAGGAGAATGCCTTATTTACTCGCCTTTATATGAAATGCGGTTAATGAAGAATGTTTATTAATCACAGATGAACGTGAGGATCTGCGCAGCGTCGCTAATGTTGACATAGCAAAATTGGTGCAAAGTGTAGAAAAGAAAAAGATAAAAAATTTGAGCGAAGAGGACCTCTGCCAAAATACTTTCAAGAAGATCGATGAAGAAGGCATATTCAATCCAAGTACGTGAGAGTTTTCGATCAATTAAATAAACCTTAGAAGGTATTCATTCCTTACCCCCTTTATAACTAGATGAACATTATTGAACTATGAAAACGCTTTACTCCTTAAAGAAAGACCCTCACTTTTTATTGGGTAACATCCGCTATAATCATTCTGTTCGTATAATGCTGCTAGAGTAAGATCCCAGAGCCCCCTGTAGAAATACACTAAAGGTGTATTCCTCACCTACGTTAAAGTAGAAACGCTCACATCATTTTCAATTATAATAAATAGCCTACATACCAATTTACACATTTCTGTTACCTACTTCATAATTAACGAAGTTTCGTACAAACTTTCATGCCTTATGACATATAAGTACTTACCTACTTATTTCACAAAACGTAAACTATTTTTTACCATAAGCTGATTAACAAAGGACATCGACGAAATCGGCCCTAGCATGCCCAAAAGAATGTCCTTCACTATTATTTTTTTAACTTATTAACAATTAATCACAGTAAACGGACAATCTGTTTAAAAAATAAAAAATAATGTTCTGTTACTAGATAGTACAGTCCATTCATCCTAACTTGTCCTATTTGGTAAACAATCTTGGCACTCCTTTTTTTGAAAATACAGCATTAAAAATCAACTGATAACTGGATTCAATAAGTTTAAGTCTATAATAACGATTTATTTTAATAGTTTATTGGTTTCGTTAATATTTTATTATTAAATGGGTGATTTTGATAAAAAGTTGTGCCAAGTTGATCAACATAAAAATAGAACTAGGTACCTTAGTTAATAATACTTATTACTAGTATTTATGTTATATTTATAAAAAGATTATTTCTGAAATTATGTAAAGTTAGTTTATACTCCCATCCCATGTAATATCTGTTTATTTTTATGAAAATCATGATAACCAGGTACATACCTAATTACCGATAGTAAAATATAGAAACAGGTAAATGGAAAAACTTAGAACATTTTATATGAAAATAAATCTATTATTACTACAGGTAGGTATAGGTATCATAGGTGCCAACTGCCAACACTCATAAATCAATATGAACATAATTATTTTTTGTTACTAATTGCATTTTATGTTCATTTAATGCATATTATTAAATCATATTATTAAAATGCTTACATAGAGGTAAACACTTAATCTATTCAGAATATATAAAGTGTACATCTTTTACGATTAAGTATAACTAGAGGTCGCCCGCGACTTCGTCTGCGTTAACTAAGTTTCTTGGAAATCCCTCTGGAACCTAACATTTTTTTCGGGATAAAAGTAGCCTATGTGTTAATCTAGGGTGTCAGCTAACTCCATACCAAATTTTATTAAAATCGCTCCAGCCGTTTAGACGTGAAGAAGTAACAAACATACACACTCACATACTCACAAACTTTCGCCTTTATAATATTAGTGTGATAATTGTAACCTCAAAATCTAATACATTCTGTAGTAGGCCACGGTTCCTCAAGTTGTTCGTATCTCAACAAATGCCTAATTAGAGTTTATGAATGATTCCGAACACAACTAGCATTTCCTCATTGCTGGGCGTTCTAGGGCATTCAATGTATGGGGAACAAGCAATGTCCTTTTCATATTTCTAACTTCAAAAATTAGAAAGTTTCATACAAACCTTAAGATGTGTATTTGAATTTCCATAAATCCCCTCTTGCAGCTGCTCACGCGTCACCAAAGGAACCACTGCGCGAAATTTCAGACTTTTCGACTTGTAGACTTATTAGAGTTTCGGTTGTGTATCCATCAATCTGTCAGACAGTTGTTTTTCTTCTTGTATACCTATAATATATAAGATGATGTTTCTGTCCTATATCAGGCTTCGACTGCAACGAAAAGGGACCCCTGAAGCAGGCGTTAAGCTCGTTGAATCCAGATGTGGGCATACAACTCCAAGATGTTTGCGCCAACTGGACTGAGGACGGACCCGTCACTCTACGTAACATTAACGTCACAATCCCCAAAGGCAAACTGTGTGCTATCATCGGCTCCGTGGGCTCTGGAAAGGTATAATATAAGTATTATTAAAAGACTACATATTATGACTACTTTTTACAGACAAAATTTATTGTATATCATTTAACTGCTAGGCTTTTACCTTGAAGGATTATTTTTTTGTAAAAATAGTCCTCTCGATTTGCTTTTGTTATCTATTTAGTATGTTTTATTTTCAGAGTTCTATACTACATCTTCTCTTAAACGAACTAAGAGCGACAAGTGGTCGAATATACCTATCAGGACCTCTGTCTTATGCAAGCCAAGAACCATGGCTCTTCGTGGCTACTGTCCGCCAAAATATACTATTCGGTCTGCCATATAATTCTAAAAAGTACAAAGAAGTAAGTAACGTCATACCTACCTAAGGACCTTAAAAGTGACTATTCTAGGATGAACTTATTATATTAACGAGATTCTGTACTAAATTCAAATAAATCTAAATATTTCTCAGGTTGTAAGAGTTTGTGCTCTGCAAAAAGACTTCCAACAGTTCCCACACGGTGATCAGACCCTCGTCGGTGAAAGAGGAGCGTCGCTCTCTGGTGGTCAACGAGCTCGGATTAATCTTGCTAGAGCAGTATACAGACAGGTAACTTAAATAAAACAACATTTTATTAATTAGATCAGCGAAAATCGTAATTCGCAATTTTATGTAAATGTTAGTAATTTTTCCAACAATTAGCATAGACCAATATGATCCATGATATTAGTGACAGTGAGAACTGTTAATAGACCAGGGTCGATAATTTTTGAGACCAAAAAAAATTATAGTAGGATGAAACCCATTAGAAAAGGTAGAGAATATAACAAAACTGAAAGGAAAAATAAATTACGGGTGATCTGAGGTCGGGAAGGGGGAGGGGGTGAGTTTTTAAGGGTAAAAAATGATTAATCTCGATTTCCGGTAAAACTGCAAGTCCTATGAAAAAAAGTTAAATGGCAAAGTTGTAGGTAATAAAAAGATCTGCAACTTTTGTATCGACACTTTTTTCACATAACCTCAAAATTTATGTGAAAAATGCGAAAAACCGAGTTTTTGGTTTTTGATTTTTTGCAAAAAAAAAAATATTTTTTCACGAAATTTGGTGAAAACTTACCTTTGTATGTCCCAAACATACAGTAATTTTTTTGATTTAAAATATTCATTTTTTCACCTTATTTTGACTTAATATCGAAAAAGCACCCTTATTTCCAATCGAAAATTCTCACGTCAAAATATCTGCTTTTTTTTAAAAAATTGGCGTGTTTTTTTGTTTGTTGAAATCTCTACTTTCTGATAGTATAAAAAAATATACACTACGATGATAAATGTTCTCAGAAAATGCAAATTAATAATGAAAAAAACTCGAAGACAGAGATTTTAACAAACAAAAAACACCCCAACTTTTATAAAGAAGCAGATATTTTGACGTGAGAATTTTCGATTGAAAATTAGGGTGTTTTTTGGATATTAAGTCAAAATAAGGTGAAAAAATGAATATTTTAAAACAAAAAAATTACTGTATATTTGGGACATACAAAGGTAAGTTTTCACCAAATTTCGTGAAAAAATATTTTTTTTTGCAAAAAATTAAAATCAAAAACCAAAAACTCGGTTATTCGCATTTTTCACATAAATTTTGAGGTTATGTGAAAAAAGTGTCAATACAAAAGTTGTAGATCTTTTTATTACCTACAACTTTGCCATTTAACTTTTTTTCATAGGACTTGCAGTTTTACCGGAAATCGAGATTAACCATTTTTTACCCTTAAAAACTCACCTCCTCCCCCTTCCCGACCTCAGATCGCCCGTAATTTATTTTTCCTTTCATTTTTGTTATATTCTCTACCTTTTCTAATGGGTTGCATCCTACTATAATTTTTTTTCACTTTTCACGATTTTTAAAATTATCGACCCTGGTCTATAAGGGTATACAAAACTTTGGACGCATTTGATTTCTAACTAATAATATTAAACAAACATTTGACTTGATTCACCAAACTTATAACTAAAAGCAGCAGTCTCTCCTTTCTCTTTTCATTCTTTATTAGAACACAATATTATATATTGCTTTCAATATAATTTTAGTTATTCGATAAACGACCACAAAAAATCGTAATATCTATCATATCGTGTTTTAAATGAGGTAGGTATAGAGGTGTTTTCGCTCAAATTAGAGCACCCGTCTGGGGAAGTTACCTCCACCTTACAGAAGACTACAGTAAAATAACACTACATTTTGTTGGTGTTGTGTTTCTGTCGGTGAGTAAGGTTCTAAGGCTCCACGGGGGATTGGGTCAGGATAGTCAAATCTATAGGTTATGGTGGCCCCTTACCCTCAGGCAGGCAAATGATTGTTTGCCATCCTTTTAATAAAAAAAAAAAGAAAATCGCGGTGCATCATGTTAGGGGCCGAATTAGACCCATAAACATTTAGGTTGTTCTCATATCACTGATGATAATTTTTAGGCTGATGTTTACCTCCTGGATGACCCACTGTCTGCCGTGGACGCTCACGTGGGCCGCCAGCTGTTCGACGAGTGCATCGGCGGCTACCTGCGACACACCACACGAGTCCTGGTCACCCACCAGTTGCACTACCTCAAGGACGCTGATTATATCCTCATTATGAATAATGTACGAGTCTTCATTATCGTAAATTTATTAGTTGCTTCGGAAGGCACGTTAAACCGATGGTCCCGACTTCGTCTGCACTCATCCGCAATTCGCATTGGGCACGCGTGGTGGTTCGTGGAGCTTTCTCTCTATGCCATCCATGGGGAAGGCTCGTGCCCTCCAACCATTGTTGTCTGTGTCCCAACTGTGGAGACATTAATAGGCTGGTGATGATGAATACTTGCTTTTAATAAATTATTTTTATTTAAGCCTTAAACTGCTACAGAAAATGTTTCTAGAAAAAAATAATACTGCCTAGTTCGCAATTCGAGTAGCAAAGCAGTCATTACATTCACTCAGAAGGACGCTGGTTCAATTCCAGCATGATACACGGGAAGAGTTAGTAATACTTTTCTAGAAAAAAAAACGGTCATGTGCTGTTCACATGCGATAGAAGTGAAACCTATAAAAATGTGAACACGTAAAAGTCCTCCATGAACAGCATAAGTATTCTGTAAGATGCAATCTCACTTACGATCTCATTTAGTTATTATACAAAATTACGGATACCTCTCTTGTGTCAAATACTCAACTCCGTTTCATTGAATCTCATGTCACAACGATACTAAAGAAGTTTTCACTTCAAAACTTAGATCTTGAATAGCTACATTTAAGAGAGCGTTAAATTAGCAGAATAAATCCAGTTATTAACAAATCTTGTTAAATCCAGGGTGCCGTAGAAGCAAAAGGAACTTACGATGAACTAATGAGTTCCGGCCTAGACTTTGCTAAATTACTATCTTCCAGCCACGATGAGAACGAAGACAAAAAAGATAAGCCACCTCCAATGACCAGACGAACTTCCTCGAGAGTAAGCAATATTAATTATATCCTATATGTAACAACAAAATCTGTGTTCAATCGTATTTTTGTGTGATCTTTCTTCTTCTAATCTTCACGATTTGATTTTCAGTTGTCGACTACTCGTCGTCCTTCGATAACAGAATCAATGACAGGCTGTGATATTCCTGCTCAAGAAATGGAAGAAGAGGAGCGAGAATCAGGATCCATGGGCTGGCGTGTGTATAACGCTTATATGAGAGCTGGAGGAAAAACCGCCAGACTCGCGTTCATGGTCATACTTCTAATAGTGGGACAACTCTCCGCCACGCTTTGCGACTACTGGGTTACTTTCTGGTGAGTCTTTGTACTTACATATTTCATTAAATAATTTATTAAAACTTAATTTAAACAAATAAATTTTGATACACAGGACAAATGAGGTAACACGAATGAAGGAGAGAGAAGATAACACCACAACCAAAGATTACGACGGGATAATTATACCAAAAAATGGAACGTTCGACTTTTCCAGTTACTTTGCTGGTATTGAACAAAGAGCAGGTAATTGTTTTTTGCAAATTTCACTAGGAAATAATTTAATTTTGTTTTTATAAAATACTAGTGAACAAAAAAAATGTCTAAATATTAATTTACTGTTTTAAATACTTATAAAATATGAAATTTTGTATGTTTGTTACTCAATCACGCAAAAACTACTGAACGAATTTGAATGAAATTTAGTACGAATATAGTTTATGACCTGGATTGAGACAAGGATATCCTACTAATATTATGAATGTGATAATTTGTATGTCTGTTACTCAATCACGCAAAAACTACTGAACAGATTTGGATGAAATCTAGTACGAATACAGTTTATGACATGGATTGAGACAAAGGATATCCTACTAATATTATAAATGTGAAGGTTTGTATGTTTCTTCCTCAAACACGCAAAAAATACTGAATGGATTAAAATGAAATTTGGTTGGATCTGAATTGAGAAATAGGATACTTTTTATCTTGGAAAAATGTTGGTTCCTGTGGGATTCTCAAAAAACTAAAGTTGACGCGGACGAAGTCGCGGGCGGCCGCTAGTTACTTACTATAAACTTCTTTACTATAGATTTGGAGATCGAAGCCAACATCGGGCCCCTAAACACGGTCCAGTACCTGTACATTTACTCAGCATTGATAGTGTGCTGTATCTTCTTCATCACTGCTCGCGCCTTCATGTTCTTCAAAGTGTGCATGACCGCCTCCCGCAATCTGCATAATGATATGTTCCACTCTTTGCTCAGAGGAGTCATGAGGTTCTTTGACACCACCTCTTCCGGTAAGTGCCAAACTAATCTATCTATACTTATAATAAATCTGTAGAGAGGTCAATTCTGTACATGAAATATATTTTCAAAATAACTATCAGGGGGTGATAAGTGATCGATACTGATGCCAAAAATGCAATCAGTAAAATTTTTGTCTGTCTGTCTGTCTGTCTGTGTGTTTGTTCCTTATAGAAACAAAAACTACTCGACGGATTTTAACGAAACTTGGTACAATTATTCTTCATACTCCTGGGCAGGTTATAGTATACTTTTCATCACGCTACAATCAATAGGAGCAGAGTAGTGAAGGGAAATGTTAGGAAAACGGGAGAAGTTACTCCATTTTTAAGCTTCCGTCGCGTGTGGAGCCTTAATGGTTAAAGTTACATAGAAATCATGTATGACGGAAATATTCTATATAAAATTGTTTAAAAAATATCCCGCAACAGCATATATCTATCTTTTATGGTTGACTCACAATAACACGTGTAACTCCTGATAGCTTAGCAGTTCGGAGCATTCTGAATATATTTGTTTACTCTTACGTTTATAATACTCTCACTCATCCCTAATTTAAAAAAGTTAACATTATTACCTATTCAATAAAAAAAGAATCATAGAAATCGGTAAAGAAACACCAAACTTATACATGAAATAAGCCATCGCGCCGTCGCACGTGAATACTGAATCATGCTTTAAGGATTATTTTTGTGTAACGGCTGCCGCGCTCGACACGGGTCGTGGCGGCGCGGTAAGGTATAAAAAGGCGGGAGGTCCGAAAGCGAGCTTCCCCGCCCCCCTGATCCTGAGAGACCTTCAGCCACTCAGTCCCAAACCGATACGGATGCACATCAGGGTGCATCCGTCCTCTAAGCGCACTAGCAGTAGTATTTACTAAGGCAGCGCTGCATCATCCCCTTCTCAGGGGTTGATCGCATCAGATGAAGCCTGTAAGGCCCCTAAGGCCATAGGCACCCGCCACGGGTGTGTTTTAGTCAGTAAGAGTCTGACATAACTCTACAGCCGGCTGTAGGGTATCCATGAGGATTTCACACCCCCTCCCCCGCCTGGGAAGAAACAAAAAAAAAAAGAAAGCGAGCTTCATTCAATATTTGGCTGTCGATGCGTTCAGAGCGTTCGACCTTATTGACAGAAAATAATTGATATTGAGAAACCGTGCTATCTATACTTATAATAAATCTGTAGAGACGTCAATTCTGTACATGAAATATATTTTTAAAATAACTATCAGGGGGTGATTAGTGATCGATACTGATGCCAAAAATGCAATCAGTAAATTTTTTGTCTGTCTGTCTGTCTGTGTGTATGTTCCTTATAGAAACAAAAACTACTCGACGGATTTTAACGAAACTTGGTACAATTATTCTTCATACTCCTGGACAGGTTATAGTATACTTTTCATCACGCTACAATCAATAGGAGCAGAGTAGTGAAGGGAAATGTTGGGAAAACGGGAGAAGTTACTCCATTTTTTAAGCTTCCGTCGCGTGTGCAGCCTTAATGATTAAAGTTACATAGAAATCATGTATGACGGAAATATTCTACATAAAATTGTCTAAAAAATATCCCGCAACAGCATATGTCTATCTTTTATGGTTGACTCACAATAACACGTGTAACTCCCGATAGCTTAGCAGTTCGGAGCATTCTGATCATATTTGTTTACTCTTACGTTTATAATACTCGGTATAGAAACACCAAACTTATACATGAAATAAGCCATCGCGCCGTCGCACGTGAATACTGAATCATGCTATAAGGATTATTTTTGTGTAATGGTTGCCGCGTTCAACACGGGTCGCGGCAGCGGTAGGGTATCAAAGGTCCGAGAGCGAGCTGTCTAAATCTGTTTTCTGCGTCGCTCCCCCCCTGGGGGACGATCGCTTCCGATGAAGCCTTAGAGGCCTTCCCGGCCAGAGGCAGCCCCTACGGGTGTTTTTTAGTCAGTACGAGTCTGACATAACCTTGCAGCCGGCTGTAGGGTAACCATGAGGATTTCTCATCTGCTCCCCCGCCTGGGAGACCGAAACCGTGCTTATCAGCGCGACTTTTAGTCTTTAAATAGTTTATTTGAATTTCTTTTGTTGTTATTTTGTAAAACAGGTATTAGTTGTTTTGGTAGTGTTTAAATATTCGTTCAAATTAAAAATTATTAAGCGTAGGTACTTTTATTAATTAAAGTAGTTATAAGTTTTTATTTTTAAGTGAAGGAGGTATTGGTAGATAGTATTGCACACGCGTTTCAGCTTTATTTTCATTTCTTTTTTGTTGTGAGTTGTATATATTTCTGGTTATAATTCTATAAGAATATTTTAGTTCAAATAGTCACTTAGATTTTATGTGTAAGGTAGCTAAAGTATTCGTTAAAAATATTCGTTCAAAGTGTAATTTAATCATATAGGATGAATGTACGATGGCCCATCGAAAAGCAGTAGAAGCGGTAGACAGAACTTTAAGAGATATAAGACAAAATGATCGACCCATGGGCGGTATCACAGTTTTATTTTGTGGTGATTTCCGACAAACCTTAACGGTAATACCACGGGGAACCCGAGCTGCTGAGGTTAGGGCTTGCCTGAAAAGCTCTTATTTGTGGCGTGATATACAATCGGTGCATTTGACTATAAACATGCGAGTGAGAACTGTAGATAACCCGGATGATCGTGAATTTTCTGATATATTATTAAAGAAAATACCTTCACCAAAGATACCTATCCACTGCTACACCAAGGAAAACTTATTCTGACGCCTGAGTTATGTTGTATAGTGCAATCCCAACAACATCTTACATCGTCAGTTTACGGTGACGTAACAAATATATTAAATAAGAACAATTCTTGGCTATGCGAAAGGTCCATTTTAACTCCTCGCAATGACCAGGCATCTGAGATTAATAATAAAATACTGTTGAATATCCAGGGGGAAAGCAAAGTTTATAGTTCAATAAATAGAATGGCCGATGTACAAGAAGCCACTAATTACCCGATAGAATTTTTAAATTCTTTAAATATGCCCGTACTTCCTTCTCATGAAATTTGTTTAAAAATTGGCATTCCGATTATTCTGCTCCGAAATTTAAGACCACCACAAATTTGCAATGGAACTCGGCTTAAAGTAACCCAGTTGCAACAAAATGTAATCGAGGCTCAAATTTTAATAGGTTGCGGTGCAGGAGAAACCATCTTTATTCCCAGAATTCCCATAATACCAAATAATTTTCCATTCCAATTTAAAAGAACGCAATTCCCAGTATCGGTGTGTTAAGCAATGACAATAAATAAGGCTCAAGGGCAGACCTTTCAGACCAGTAGATCTCGGTGTCAGTTGTTTTTCACATGGTCAGTTATGTCGGTCTTTCCCGGGTTAGCAGTCCTAGAATTTTTTATGTTCACGTTCCGGACGGGACAAATTTCAACGTAGTCTACCCGGAAGCTTTGCGCTGAAGTATTTTCATTCTATATGTACTTAAGACTCATGTGAAAGCGATCTAAACAATATTACCAATACATTAACATAATAACATACAAGGAGTTACACGCTGATGGTCTCGGGGCACAGTGATAATAATAATATTCTGCGGTTCCTTATTGCGATATTTTTAACAGTATTATATTTCCCTACTAAAATACGAAAGTTAATCTGTCTGTCACATCAAAACCACGGAACCCTGAGGAAGGACATATGCTACTTTTTTACGAAAAACGACGATAACGCGGATGAAGTCGCGGGCAAAAGCTAGTATATTAATAAAATGGTAGGAAAGTCAAAACTGTACATTGAATATTTTTTTAAAAAGAATACTTGGGGTGTGATCTACAATTGATACCGAAGTCATTAGTTTTTAGAATTTTTGTCTGTTTGTCTGTATGTATGTCCGGGATAAACTCAAAAAGTAAAGTAAAGATTTACTTCAAATTAGGCACGAATATTATTAAGAAGTCGGGTCAACATATAGGCTACATATTATCACGCTATCACCTACGGGGAATGAGCAGTGAAACTTTATTTCTAACCAACTCCACGCGTGCGAAGTCGCGGGCGGCCGCTAGTATCAGATAAAAACTAATAAAGTGATCAGTAATCACTTTATTCGTTGATATTAACAATTTATTATTGTCCTTTTTCGCGGGATCGTTTACAGGCTCCGTGGTCCGTAACGTATCTGAAAAGTGTAGAATAATTAAAAGAAAGTTAATAAATCGCACTTAACCCATTCATAATGTGTTGTCCAAAAGGGGTGATAATTGAATCTCTCGTACTCAGTCTACCATGCTGTCGTATTCCACACAATTTTATCAAATGCTTGGTTTTGCGAGAAAACATACAAAATACTATTAGCGCAAGATCCCAAGCCCACCAGATCCTACAATTTTTTTATGGACAAAATTTCGGGTAATCGGTACGATGAAACGTATACATACCTATTTGCTAATTTGTGTTGTGAGCCATTTCTCAGGTATCAAGTGGCACAGATTCTTAAACTCACTTTTCTAACAGTTTGAAGACTGATTCTAACATTGTAGAGAATATTGTTAACGTTGTTGTGAGTGAATTTTTACGTACACTTGCCAGCTGATACCTGGCATTTGCCCACAGCACAAGTTAGCGAGTTCATTATACACACTAATACTACTCGATTATCCTATTTTGTCCATCAGAAAAAAAGTAAGGTCTGGCAGGCCTGGGGTCTTGGACTATTGGCTTAATAATGTAAAATCGTATAAGAAGTGCAGCCTTTAATTGTATACGTTTTTCCAGGTCGTATACTCAATAGATTCTCCAAAGACATCGGCGCTTTAGACGAACTTTTGCCACGTTTTCTACTGGAATGTATCCAAATCTACCTCGTGATGTTCAGCATTTTAACTCTGAACGCTGCGGCGCTAGTATGGACCTTACTGCCCACCACCATCATCCTACTTCTATTCTATACTATATTACAAATTTATCTGAAGTCGGCGCAATCAATTAAGCGATTGGAAGGCACGAGTAAGTATGAAAATTCCAATTTATGGCTACTGGCACCAGTGCCAAGTATATAAAATCATTTCGTGAAGGCGTAGCTTTCATAATTTATATAGGTCGTTTCATAGTTTTACAGTATCGTTTGTGATTTTAAGTGTGAGTTAATAAATGTTAAGAAAAAAAGTTAAAGCTTACCATATGATTTCATTTTCTCGAGTTTAAGTGCAACTTTTGCGAAGCGTGATTTTAAGTGTAACAGAATTTTAAGATTTTATTTAAATGTGAAATGTTGCAGCTCGCAGCCCTGTGTTTTCGCACATGTCTGCAACACTCAACGGCATAAGCACAATCCGGTCATCGGGCGCTCAACAGAGGCTCATCACAGAGTTCGACAAATTTCAGGTTTGCATAATATATATTACCGTTTTTATATTACCGTATTCCATTCTGTGGTTTAATTTGTAAAAGCTTTTATTTTGATATATAAATGAATAGCCCTTCTCTATCGTAACTTTAATTAGTATTTTTAAATCAATTCGCCAGGATATCCACACATCGACTTGGAGCAGTTACCTGGCGAGTGGTGTGACACTCGGCTTTTGGCTTGATTTCATCTGTGTGCTATATCTTGCTATAGTGATCATTGCATTCCTCGTGATCGACAGCAGTAAGTATTATCATTGTTTTCTCGTAGGTAGGTTACAACTTTTTGTATAACTAACATTTAAAATAGAACTTTATTTGGTATTCACTGCCTATTTCTATAACGATCGCATCCTTTTGCAGTAATTGCGACACCATTGCACAGTGAATGAGTTTTGGCATATTCATATTTTTTATTTTATCCAAAACTTACCAGGATTCAACAAATATTATGATTGTACTTATTCAAAATTATATAAATAGAGTAGTAAGTGAATATTGTTTTTGTTATTTTTTCAACAGAAACTATCTTCTCGGGCAACGTCGGTTTGGCAATATCCCAGACGCTCATTTTAACGGGCATGTTACAATTCGGCGTCCGACAGACGGCTGAAGTAATCTCACAAATGACGAGCGTGGAACGTATCCTACAGTATACGCACATTGAGCGCGAGAGTCAGTGGGAAAAAGGAGGTGAGTACTGAAAAACTAGGAAAATAAAACAAGTTTACTACGGGTTAGATGAACTAATTTTGTTTATTTATTGACATTTCGCATTAATAATGACTATTTTTTCTTTGTTGAGCTACCTTGGCCAATAAATAAATAAAATCAGTGCATCTAACGCATTGAAACTTGTTTTATTTAATGAGTAATGTGCATTTTCATGCACATTACTCATTAAATGATTATTTCTTAGGTTTTCACCTAAGAAATAAATAAACTAGGAAAAATTAATTCATCCATATTTTTATAGAAGTCTCGAGACTAACTCCACATCAATCGCACGCACCTTCTGTTTTTAAGATTATGGGATGCAGTCTAGTTATCTAGTACTTACCTATAGTTGAGATACGAACCACCCTCACGTTTACGTTTACGAACCAGCCTCAAACCTGTTCCCAGTGCCGTCTTTGACCTATTGGAGGCCCTGGGCATATTAGGATAATGGGGCCCCTATGACCCCCGTTTGGTGATCTAACAAGAACTAGGGACTTTGTGTTTGTGATGTGAGGTGCCCAACTATCGATCACGGGGCCCTAGGCACTTGCCCAAAGTGCCCACTGGGAAAGACGGGTCCGCCTGTTCCCCTACCACGTGTATCTTTACTCTCTTTTAAGACAACGACATTATAAAATAGAGATATTTGTCTTCAGTCTCCAAAGATGTATGAGGAGCATATTTATTTATTACTTACACATGTGAGAAATACACTTTTAAAAAACTATCAAGATACAAGACGGCACACCCCAGACCAGAAGAAACAAAGTCCCTACAGTTATTTTATTTCTTTTAATATACCAAGCAATGTGAAAGATGTTATGTGTGATTTATTTTTTAAGGAACTTTCAGTTTACGTATTTATTTACTTTTATTCCAGAGCGTGAGACACCTAAAGGCTGGCCATCACGCGGTCGCATCGAGTTCCGCAATTGTTACATGAAATATACGCCTGAAGATCTACCCGTACTCAAAAACTTGAATTTGGTCCTTGAAAGCGGGTGGAAGGTAAGAAAGGAACAAAACCATTTTTTTCACATATAAAGTGATGCGTTTGTATTTAAAAAAAAATGTAGGTACGCCTCTTTTTAATTATTAGCTGAAAGAAAACCTCACTATGGATACGAAATTTAGCCACCTTTTATATTTCAGGGCTAATTAGATATTAGACGTTATCAAAATACGCATTTAGAAATACGTAAATACTTATGTTACACTAGTTTCTATCAGCTATCATATTAATATTATGAATCCGATTCTAATATTATTTTGTTTACACCATAGTATTAGGCAGCTAAAATCACATAAAACATAATTATTTTTTTAAAGTATATCGATGATGATAATAATAAAAAACATCCAAGTTAGTAGGTTTTGAAACAAACTTTAACAAGTACCAAAAAGGCCTCTATTCAAATGATATAGATACCTACAAAGAAGTCACTTATTCATTTATGATGTTGTTTCTTTATAGATTTGATTTAAATTTATTAACATTATAATATAAAACAAACGTGTATAAGCTTTTGTAAAGGGATTTAAAGGATTGAGATTAAGGTTATATGAATTAATAATATTTTTTATCCCAACTATAATCTACGTATCTTCCATAGGTGGGTATTGTGGGACGAACAGGCGCTGGCAAATCGTCTCTCATATCGTCGTTGTTCCGCTTAGCCATAGTCGAGGGCGAGATCCTCATCGATGACGTGAACACTGGACATTTGGCTTTACAAGTAAGTCAAAGTTTCCATATTATCCTACTATAGTATATTTGTATTGTGGGTAAACGCATAATAAAACTTGTTACTGAGTCAGTCTGTCATCGCCGATTAAACGTTGTATTACGTACTCCATATTTTAGTATTTAATGTCCTTTAACTCCTCAAATAGGACATATTGGCGACGAAAAGTACTTCACGCGTGTTCAGAAATTAACAGTGAATAAATTGTTAGCAAAATAATAATATTGGGTAATGGAAGTTCAATGTTCGGTGGCAGCCTCACATTCGACCACAGGGTTCAAGAGTGGAGCATATTTAAAAGCAGATTTACACAGTTTTGTACGGCGAACGATATTGATAACGACACCGACAAAGCAGGAGTAAAAAGAAGACCTTTGCTTCTAACTACCTTGGTGGAAGATACCTACCGCGTTGTTAATGATTTGGTGTTTCCGTCTTCATTGGAAAGCTTGGAGTTTCAGACCTTGATACAAAAATTGGACAGCCATTTCTTATCCAAAAAAAGTACCTTCGCAGAGAGATACAAATTTTATAAGGCAGAACAAAGGCCAGGCGAGGATTTATCTGAATGGGCATCGCGAGTGAGGAATTTAGCTTAGTTTTGCGGGCTCAAATCTGAACTTGAATCTGCATTAAGAGATCGATTTGTTCTTGGGCTAGATATAAAGAAATACTAAAGAAAAGGAGAAGCTATTTACGGAAAGCATCGAGACTTTGACTTTCCATAAGGCATTAGAGTTGGCTCAAAGCGTACGTTGTGCGCGGATGGCTTTGCAAGTTGCGAGTGTATGGAAAGTGGTATGGAACAGTCGACGTCAACGCAGCCAGTGTTCGAGATACGTGCCGCAGCGCGCGGCCCTACCAGCGGCGTTATGAAAACATCTCAAGCTAAACAGAATAAGTTTTGTGCAGTGTGTGGCTATCGTAATCATACAAAAGCCGAGTGTCGTTTTATTAATTATAAGTGTCAAAAGTGTAATCAACAAGGCCATTTATAACGCATGTGCAGTTCCAAAAAGGGAAATAATTACTTTATGGATGCGAATGATAACGACATATCAGAAGGTAAACATGAATTATTCAATATTAAATGTAAAAACGGTGACCCTATGCAGCACGTTGTGTCAATAGGCGGCCGGCCGGTGTTATGTGAGATATATAGCGGGAGCGCGGTCTCCATATTGCCAATTAGGTTCTATCGTACATATTTTAAAGATGAATATCCTATGCATGCGTCTCGTGTAGTATTAAATTGTTATAATGGTAGAAAGATTTCTCCACTCGGATACATTATAATTCCCGTACAATAGGAGAATATTCTCAAGCACAGTAGATTTTTTTATTATTGATACGGATATTGCAAAACCAATTTTATTAGGTAGAAATTTTATATGCGAGTTCAATCTAGAATTATGCACGGTCAATTGTAACAACCTTACGACCGATAATGATTTGGCACAACAATTAAAAATTAAATTTGCTAAATTGTTTACAGATGAATTGGGCACATTTAATAAGTATAAAATTACATTGAAAGTTCGACCAGACTCGCAATTGAAATTTTTTAAGCCTCGTACGGTCTCGTTAGCACTGAAAAAAAAGTGGAATTGGAATTGCAAAGGTTACTAGATTTAGGTACTAGACCGCACTATCCGTGCGGTGACGGAGAAAGAATACAACTCACCGCCCCTTTTCTTCCCGTGGGTGTCGTAAGAAGCGACTAAGGGATGTCGGAGCTTCCATCCGCTCTTCTGGTGGGAGGGTGCCTAACACCCGCCTGGTTTGTTACCACCGTGCGCATGGTGAAAAACCCGTGAAGTGCTTCTCGCGCGTTTCGGGGTCAGCCAGCGTACAACCAGAGCTCGAGTGGAAGTTGTCGCGAAGGATTCGGTCCAGGGGAGGCATCCGTGGAACCGATGCCGGGAGGACTGCATCGACCCGTCGGCCAGGGAGACCCGTAGAAACGGCTGTCCCGCTGGCCGCCCGTGGCACAGTACAGGGGCCCAAGCGTTCCTAACCAGTTCGCGAGGCTGCCCCATCATGTCACGCATAATCTCGGGGTGGACCGTCGTGCCGGTTGGTGACCGGGGCGTGGGGTCCCGGCGGTCACTCCCGGGGGGGTGCGGGGGCCCTTCCGTCCGGCGGGTCGGCGCATCTCCACTGCAGGCAGTCAATCGGGAAGACAAACCCCCCTTATTTGCCCGGACTCTTCGCGACGGCGTCCGCTCGTTTTCGCGTCTCTTTTTTTTTTTTTTCACTTCCACCATGGCAGCCTCAATAACAAAGTTTGGACGTACAGCGGTGCACACCCCCCCGCCTTCAACGCTGTTTGAGGTCGAGTTCTGCAACATACGCGGACTCCACTCTAACCTCAACGCTGTCCACCACCATCTCGAGACAGCACGGCCAGCATTGTTGTTCCTGACGGAGACACAAATACTTCCGCCTGCTGACACAGGCTACCTTAATTATCCCGGCTACGTGCTTGAAGAGTCCTTCAAAGCGAAAGCCGGTGTATGCCTGTATGTTCGGGCGGATGTTTGTTGTCGCCGTCTCCGCTGCTTGGAAGATCCCTCCTTCTCCATGCTGGGGGTACACGTCGACTCTGGCCCCCGGGCCAGAGTCTACGTGTGCCTCTACAGATCCCACACCGGCGATGTTGAGACAACTCGACTTTTTGAACACCTTAGTCGGGCAGCAGATGACGCGCAGGAGCGATTTCCCAATGCAGAATTGGTGTTTTTGGGGGACTTTAATGCTCACCACAATTTGTGGTTAAGTTCTTCCAAAACTGACCATGCAGGGATCTCTGCTCACACATTCGCTCTCACGCATGACTTGAAGCAACTGGTTGATCAGCCCACCAGGATCCCAGATATTCCAAGTCAAGCGCCTTCTTTACTGGACCTTCTGCTCACGACCCATCCACAGGGCTATCAGGTTGTGGTAAGAGCCCCCCTGGGCTCGTCGACCACTGCCTGATATCTGCCAAAGCACCACAGGCCAAGCCTCCGCGTCCAGCAGTGGTCAAGCGCCGTATCTGGCATTATGGGTCGGCAGATTGGGACGGTATGCGTGATTACTTTGCGTCCGTCCCTTGGAAGCAGCGCTGCTTCAGTGACAGGGACCTATCGGGCAGTGCCGTTGCCATTACTGAGGAGATCATAATGGGTATGGAATACTATATTCCTCATTCTGATCTCATCAGTAAGGGCACACGTAACCTCTGGTTCAATCACGACTGTGCTGAAGCTGCTTCGCGTAAGCAAGCGGCATATCGTACTTGGATCAGAGGCCGCGCTCTCAAGGATCCCGGGGTCGATTCACTCAAAGCAGCCTACAATTCTGCTTCCAAGGCCTGTAAGAAGGCTTACATCAGAGCGGATGCCCAGCGTGTTGCACGTGTTGGCCAGAAACTTATAACGCATCCTGCGGGCTCCCGTAGCTACTGGCGTTTGGCCAAGGCCGTGCAAAAAAACTTCTGCCAGCCCTCGCTGCCACCTCTGAGATGCCCAGACGGAACACTAGCTCATAAGCCGCAGGAGAAAGCCGATTTACTGGCAAAACTCTTTGCGGCTAACTCCCGAATCGATGATTGCAATGCACTGCCACCATCATTACCTCACTGTGGCACAACGATGCCTGATATTAAAATCAGGCAGCGTGAGGTTCGTGCCGAATTGCAATCACTCGACGTCCGGAAAGCTAGTGGACCTGATGGCATCCCAGCCGTAGTACTTAAAAAATGGGCAGCGGAGTTGTCTCCCGTGCTCACGCGCTTGTACCAATGCTCGTATTCTTTGGGGCGTGTGCCGGAGACTTGGAGAGATGCTAACGTGCAACCGGTGCCCAAAAAAGGGGACCGCTCAGACCCGGCAAACTATCGGCCAATAGCAGTCACCTCAGTTTTATGTAAAGTTCTAGAAAAGGTCCTTAATAACCATCTGACCCGCTACCTAGAGGATCACTCCCTGATTAATGATCGTCAATATGGATTTAGACCGAAACGATCGACGGGTGATCTTCTAGCGTACTTAACTCATATCTGGGGTGAGGCTATCGACAAGCGTGGCGAGCCGTTGGCTATCAGCCTTGACATTGCCAAGGCGTTCGACAGGGTCTGGCACAAAAGCCTTCTCTCCAAGCTTCCGGCATACGGTCTGCCAGCCCAGTTCTGTTCTTGGGTAGCTGACTTCCTGCATGAGCGTAGAATTCGTGTCCTTACGGATGGTAGCAGTTCGCGGTTCATGTCAGTGAATGCCGGCGTTCCCCAGGGCTTCGTCCTATCCCCCACTCTCTTTCTGCTGCATATCAATGACTTGATTCCTCTTGGAAATATTCATTGCTATGCAGACGATAGTACAGTGCATGCGGGGTATCTCGGACAAGCAGCGGCTGGGTACGCAGTAACCAGGGAGAAACGGGAAAATCTTGTCATTGAACTCAATCAGGCTTTGGACCACATTTCCGAATGGGGTACCAGGAACTTGGTTGGGTTCAATGCCAAGAAAACTCAGGTTTGCGCTTTCACGGCAAAAACATCGCCATTCCTTCCCCTTCCATCTCTTCAGGGCACAACACTACCGCTGCAGAGCAACATTTCCATGCTCGGTATGGAAGTTCGCTCAGACCTGAATCCAAAGGACTACATCGAAACCGTGATCAAAACAGCTTCACGCAAACTCGGAGTCCTGAACAAGGTGCGGCGTTTTTTCACGCCCGATCAACTGTGCTTGTTGTACAAAACGCAAGTCCGGCCCTGCGTGGAATATTGCTCGCACCTCTGGGATGGCTCCGCCAAGTACTTGCTCGATGCTTTGGATAGGTTACAGCGGCGCGCGATCCGCATCATAGGCGATGAGGAGGTGACTAAACACCTTGAGCCTCTTCAATTACGCCGTGACGTGGCGTCACTAAGCGCGTTCTATCGTTTGTACCACGGCGAGTGTTCTGAGGAGTTATTCTCTCTTATCCCACCTTCCCCTTTCCTTCAGAGGACCACGCGCGCTGGCCTACGTTGTCACCGTCTTACTGTGGCCACAATTCCAACGCGTACAAAGAAATTTGGTGACTCATTTCTTTGTCGCACTATCCGTAAATGGAATGCTCTGCCCGCTCACGTGTTCCCTCCCTCTTACAACCTGGGATCCTTTAAAAGAGGCGTGAAGAAGCAACATGCAGGCCGGCAGGGTGAGGATGGCTGGTGTGGCAGGTAGAACTGCTGTATCAGCTATCTTCGCGTCTGGACTTCACCTTCACTTAACATCAGGTGGGGTGGAGTCATTTGTCGGACCTAACTATAAAAAAAAAAAAAAGGTATTTTAGAAAAGGTGGATCACTCAGATGTTGCAACCCTATAGTGCCGGTTTTGAGATCTGTCGGGGATATTAGAATCTGTGGTGATTATTCAGTTACACTTAATAAAGTGCTATATTGTGATAGTTACCCCTTGCCACGGATTGAAGATTTGTTTGCGAAACTTCATGGTGGGGTGGAATTTTGAAAGTTAGATCTTTCTAGAGCTTACAATCAACTAGAGCTTGATAGTTCTAGAAAATTGACTTGAATTAACACACATAAGGGTTTGTTTTGTTATACTCGATTAGTATTCGGTCTCTCTAACGCTCCTTCTATATTCCAAAAAGTATTAGAGCAATTACTAGGTGATATAGAGGGAGTTTGCATATTTTTAGACGATATTTGTATAACGGGCTCTTCAAAAAAAAATCATATAGATAGATTAGAGCAGGTTTTATCAAGATTACAAGGGCTTAGATTGAAAGAAAATAAATGCGAATTATTTAAAAAGTCAGTACAATACCTAGGATATGTAATTGACAAAGAGTGTCTACATAAATCACAAAGTAAAATAAATGCAATTATAAATTGTGATTTTCCAAAAAATACAAAGGAATTGAAATCATTCCTGGGATTAGTAAACTGTTATCGCTGTTTTGTTCCAAATACGTCAAGTATATTGGGACCATTATATTCACTCTTAAAGAAAGGCCAAAAATGGGAGTGGGGCGACAAGCAAAAATATGCATTCAACCGCATCAAAAAAGAATTGAGTAGTGAACAGTGTTTAGCGCATTATGATTCCGCGTTACCGACTATAGTGACAGCGGACGCGGGCCCGGCGGGCTTGGGCGCGGTGCTCGCGCAACGCCAACGCGACGGGCGCGAGCGAGTAGTAGCGTATGCGTCTCGTTCGCTTACCAAATCAGAACGAAACTACGCTCAAATTCAGAAGGAAGCGACCGCTATTATATTCGCAATAAAAAAAATCACCATTATTTGTACGGTCGAGATATTCCTTTCATATTGCGTACAGACCACAAACCACTTCGGTCAATTTTTGGCTGCAAGAAAGGTGTCCCTGAGTTGGCAGCAAATCGATTACAAAGATATGCTTTATTTTTGTCAGCTTATAATTTTAACATCGAATACGTAAAGAGTGAATCTAATGTGGCAGATTTTTTATCACGGTCTATAAAAGACTGCAAAGATTTAGAAATTCTAGATCATACCGATATCGATAAAAACTTTTATATAAATTTTATTTCGGACTATGATTTAACGCCTATAACAGTAAAAAATATTCAGGAAGCGACATCACGAGATCCAGTTTTACAGAGAGTAATCGATTTTATCAGAAATGGTTGGCCTAGAAATATAACAAATTCTAGTTTACGGCCGTATTTTTTATACCGTTTAGATTTGTCATAAGAAAAGCGGTGTATCTTACGTGGTCATAGAATAATTATACCAGAAGTTTTAAGAAAAACAATATTAAATGAATTACATCGCTCACATTTTGGAGTAACAAAGTCAAAAAGCAACGTTAGGCAGCGCATGTGGTGGCCCCACATTGACAAACAGACAGAAGAAACAATAGGGTCTTGTAAATTGTGCAACACTATCCGCGACGCGCCGTCGCGTGCCCCTCTGGCGCCATGGCCGTTTCCAAAACGTCCATGGGACCGAGTTCATATTGATATGTTTTACCTCAATAACAAAAACTTTTTTATCTCAATAGATGCTTATTCTAAATGGGTTGAATGTTTTTACATGTCTAATACAAACAGTGATGCAATTATAGAAAAGTTGTCAGAGATATTCAGTAGGTTTGGATTAATTCGTACGTTAGTTTCAGATAATGCTACTAATTTTTGCTCACAAAAGTTTAAAGAATTTTTCTTTCTAAATGGCATTAAACACATCACGATTGCACGGTATCACCCGGCATCGAATGGGCAAGCAGAAAACTGTGTAAAAACTGTAAAAAAAGGTTTAAAAATCATTATGTCACACGATCGATCACAAAAATCAATAATACAGGAAATGAACAAATTTTTGTTTGATTATAGGTATTCTGCTCATTGTACTACCGGTTTTACTCCAGCTCAATTATTACTCGGCCGCCCATTACGGTGTTGTCTCGATCTGTTGAGGGTCACCGAATCAATGGACAATTTGGAAAGTGAGATGTCGTTATCATCCGTAGCACATTCTAATGTACTAGAAAAACAGATCTCACAGCGTAAGTTATATGGAGGTCATCGTAATAAAACATTTTCACAAGGAGAAATAGTATTAGTGAAACAATATTATAACAATGGGAATAAACATGAATGGAAACTTGGAATTATTAAAGAAAGAATGGGTACTCAAATGTATTCCGTAAGATTAAAAATTAATAATAACATTGTGATAAAACATGTTGATCAATTATTGCCATATAAAGGTAATACGGATGCAGTGGATTTTGAGGATGTTAGTAACTATGGGGACTATTCCTATTCGCCGACAGAAAATGTGGGGGAAGGAGTTTTATTAGAGAACGATGATGCCGTAGATAATTCTTTTTGCTCCTTGCCTGGAGAAGAACAGGAAGTCACCGGCGATGGTGTTCCATCATCGCCGCAGGCAGAACTCGTTGATGAATCACCACTCACCTGCAACCCCACTAGGCCTCTAGACATAGCACCCCGACCTGAACGCCTTGTTCGATCAACCCGGACAAAGAATCCTAATTATAAAGTGTAACAAACTATTATTTTTGTAATATTGGTGGAGGGGTATGGTATATTTGTATTGTGGGTAAACGCATAATAAAACTTGTTGCTGAGTCAGTCTGTCATCGCCGATTAAACGTTGTATTACGTACTCCATATTTTAGTATTTAATGTCCTTTAACTCCTCAAATAGGACACCTACCCATTACCAAAAATCTAATATAAATATACCTATATGTACAACATCTTCATAATCGTTAGTCAAAGTCAAAGAAGTCAAAACAACTTTTGTGTTATTGATATAAGTTGAAATCAGAAAACAAACCGTACAACTTAACGTAAAAGTAGAGTTAACTATAAAGTTTAGACTTAACCATATTATTTAAATCTCTTTGGTAAAACCTTAAAATTGCCTTAAAACAGAAACAAGTGCCGATCTTTGGGCAAAATAGAAAATCCCAATATACCCCATTCTTTATCGAAGAATGCGTGCGATTCTCATGATAGTGAGAATTCCCATGACATTTTAAAGTTCTGTTAAACATAGTCTAACACCGAAATATTATTGCAGGAGCTGCGTTCACAGATCTCCATCATTCCTCAGGAGCCTGTATTATTTTCGGCCACAGTGCGATACAACCTGGATCCTTTCAACAACTATGACGACGATCAACTCTGGAATGCACTCGAAGCTGTATGTTCAGTCTAGATTTTTCTCATACAAGCGAATATTTCGTGAATTTTCTTTCTATTTTTTAAATCGTTGTATTCCGCGAACGAAGAAAATTAAAATTTTGCTTAACCTCTAACTTATGTTCATCTTCAGATAACGAGAACGATATTCTCTTAAATATTATTTTGTCTGACACGCTCATTGTTTGTAAGTAGATATGAACGGACCTTTACAGATACCAACAAATATAACGTTTGTTGCACTTTTTGAAGTGAAACTTCTTTAGGCACGCTTCACTTGGGGGGTAAACTGGCGAATGTGTTACGATTTTGTGTTACGATTAGTGTAATCGGTGGCTCATCGGTAAACAATGAACAATACCCGTCACAAAATACATGAATCTAGCTTAATCTTGCTTAAGCTTGCTTGTGGATGATAAAGGACCCAGTGCGGATTGGTGGGTGATAACGGACCCAGCGCAGATTGGTGGGTGATAATGGAACCAGTGCGGATTGGTGGGTGATAACGGACCCAGCGCGGATTGGTGGGTGATAATGGACCCAGTGCGGATTGAAATGAAATGAAATGATATTTATTCAGACTAGGCTGTTACAAGCACTTGTGAAGGTCAAGAAGCTACGCCATCGGTTCGCAAAACTACGGCGGGAGACCTTGTACTGAGAAGAACCGGCAAGAAAATCAGCAAGGGATGTTTTTTTCTCCCTGTATTGTTATATACAGTGTCGTCAAGTTGAAAAATTACTTCAGAAATACGTCTGAAGTCACTTTCCATTACATCATCTAGAATATAAATATATAGTTACAATTAATTTTATAGTTAACATTATATGTAGTATATAGGAAGCGGCAATAGATAGGTACAATATTACTGTTATGAAAAATGACTAATACCCATTTAATATCAAATTATAAGAAACACTATGTCCATGCATTACGATCATTTAGATAATCATCAACTTTATATTAGCCCTTATTCATAAGAGTATTTTTGATCTGATATTTAAATTTAGTCAGTGGAAGCTCAATCAGATCTTGGGGAACTTTGTTAAACAATGCAATACTACAACCCAGAAATGAACCTCTTGATTTTTGGAGTCTGAACATGGAACGGCAAGCTTGTTCTTAAATCTCGTGTTAAAGTTATGGGTTTGACTTTTTTTTGCAAATTCATCATAGTTTTTTCTTACATATATTAAATTTTCATAAATGTATTGCGACGCCAGTGTTAAAATATTAATTTCTTTAAATTTTTCTCTAAGGGATTCTCTTGCCTTTAAATTGTATATGGCGCGAACAACTCTCTTTTGCAATATGAAAATACTTTCGATATTAGCGGCTGAGCCCCTTTGGTTTGGTCTGATTGGTGGGTGATAACGGACCCAGCGCGGATTGGTAGGTAATAATGGATCCAGTGCGGATTGGAAAGTGATAACGGACCCAGCGCGGATTAGTGGGTGATAACAGACCCAGCGCGGATTGGTGGGTGATAATGGTCCCAGTGCGGATTGGTGGGTGATAAGGGACCCAGCGCGGATTGATAAGTAATAATGAATCCAGTGCGGATTGGAGGGTGATAACGGACCCAGCGCGGATTGGTGGTTTTTTTTCTATCAACAAATCTTCAGGTTAAATTTATGATTTTCAGATCATTGGAGCTAAAGAAGTTTCACTTCAGTCTTCTGGTCATAAGCACACTCGTTTTTTTTTAATTTGTCCTAGGTATTTACAGATTCTTTATGGAAAGCAATAGCATACACCCTGGTAAACTTTTTGAGCATCAATCATGAACAACGGAACCTGCGCTGTAGCAATTTTACATACAAAAACGCCTACTGTGTCAGGTTATTTGTCTGTGGTGTCCCACGGCATTATCACACGGAGGGGAATATTTAATATTGACAATAGGATATTTAACTGAAAGAAGACATCATTTTATTTTTAATAATAAGTAGAACTGCATTCACAGATTTTTTTAAATCGCCTGCCCAAATGCCTGGGAATGAAACTTGTGATATGTGAAAAAAACACATCACACACACACAAATCGGAAGGGTAAATTATAGGCATTATTTTTTCTAAATAACAAAATATTTTCTCATTTCACGAGAATGATTCCCGGTTGTGGCAGGCGATTTAAAAAAAACGGTGAATGCAGTTCTACTTATCATTAAAAATAAAATGATTTTATCTTTCAGTAAAATATCATATCTTCAATATTTAATATACTTTCCCTCCATGTGACAATGCCGTGGAACGCCCTGTATACTCATCATAAAAGTATAAGCAACATGAACTGTTTTGAACTTTTGTCCTATTTTTATACATATATTCCTTTGTTAATAATAATCATTTATTAGTGACTAATGCAAAATAAACTTTTGAATAAATTATATACATCTTGACGATAACGTAAAAGTGCAGTTTGTGAAAATGATGCATGTTGCGTAGACTTCTATGATGTATGTGTGTACTAATAAATTATTATGAATGTATATCCAGGTGGATTTGAAGGAAGCTGTACCCGCGCTGGACTTCAAGGTGTCAGAGGGCGGGTCGAACTTCTCGCTGGGGCAGCGGCAGCTGGTGTGCCTGGCGCGCGCCATTCTGCGCGGCAACCGCATCCTGGTGCTCGACGAGGCCACCGCCAACGTAGATCCCAAGTGAGTCCTATTCCTTGCGTCTAGTGTTCTCAATGCTAAGGGTCGTGAGCTCTCTGAATAACTTATCGCTGGTGCAGCGGCTGCTGGTGGCTCAACGAGGCCACCGCCAACATTTTCCCAAGTTAGTCATTACCTACATATCATGAATACCATCGAAAGTTCGTCAACCGGAGTAGAATACCCGGTGCACAAATTATTTTGAAAAGAATTTTCGCTGAAAGTCATACTTCGATCTCGACACATCCAGACGACAAAGTGGAGGCTGTGATATCTCTAAAGCCATAAAGCAATAGCATTAACTGTGATGGGGGACTACAACTATTTTAACAACAATACATTTTCGTATTTTAATAAGCCTGCACCTGAAAAGTATTATACAGAATGAGCTTTTCAAACTCGCTTATAATCCATTAGATTGTTCTGTAACTGGTATCCATCACCAAATACACTATGAAAATCTAATAAATACAGAATTAATTTATAACTGATATCGGCACCCTTTGGGCGACGCGACTTGTCCTTTGACATTATTATTGTCCGCATGCTTTTGAATACCTATACTAGTTCTTGTTATGTATGTACTACCAGCTAATCTGATACTTGACCCACCATAATGTTATTTTCTTACAACTATTGCATAATAATAAGCTTAACGTTCACAAAGAAAAAACACATACACAGTCAGGTCATAAGTATTGTGACACAGTAAAAACTTTTCTTTTAGAATGCTTGCCACAAAAAAGTTTATTGAATTCGAATTTCGAATTGTTCATGAAAATAAAAATGCATACTTTTTAGAATTTTACTCGTTTTTAAATATGGAGTGGACGCTTAAAGAAGACCGTGTTGCAGTTATTGCGTTGCATCGTTGCGTTTACGCGCCAATTAAATTTTTTGACATACTGAAAATTTTGAATATAACCAAAAGATTCGTTTATCGTACCATCAAACGATACAATGAAGACTCTAGTGTAGATGACAGGTCAAGAAGTGGTCGCCCTCGGTCTGTTAGGACTCCAGCAGTGATAAAAGCTGTGAAGGCGCGAATTCAAAGAAATCCCAAACGTAAGCAGAAACTATTGGCCCTTCAGATGGGCTTAAGCAGAACCACGGTGAAAAGAGAGTTAAATGAAGACTTAGGGCTTCGGGCATATCGAAGAAAAACAGGACATCGTTTGAATGCTCGTCTAATGGACCTGAGACTGAAGAGATGCCGCTCTTTGTTGCAGAGTTTTGTTTGTTTTGTTTTACAAAGTTTTTTTGTAAATATCAAGAAATCCAAAGCATTTCTGTTATATTTACGATTTTAACAGTGATTTCGAAATTCAAACTACTAGATAAACCTCATTATTAGAATGCCCTAAGTGCAAACGCATTCTCTATAAATGCAAACATGTCTTTATTTACGCGAATTATCTGGCAAGTGGGTCATGAATCAATACGTTATTATATAAATAAATCAAGACATACAGTTGAAAAGACGATATAGTTTCACGGTATTTTAAAAGTGCTTTACCGATGTCTTTAATTATAATAGATATTGAAATAATGGTAACTATTGGTAACCAAAGATAAAGTTATTAAGTAGATACATGGTCGAATATTAGTAGGTTACCTTTCGATAATCAAGGTAGACTGAATGATCAGCGGTAGGTAGTAATCGCTTATCAAACATGATTTTGAAATATTACTTAATCATTTATATTAACATCTTACAAAATAACGCGCACTGATAATGCTTTTATTTTAAATGTATCAAAACAACCTTTATTATTCAATTAATTCATGTTTCTAACTCTATCTTTATCTCGTTAATTACTAAAATTTTTCTTTATTCATTTTATACAATGACGTAAAAACTTCTTAGATTTTATATAACTCTAATTCCCTGTGATTAATATTCTTTTCCATTTTATATCATTCTAAGGTGTCGTAATATATTCCCTTCTAGTTGCGCATTTTTAGCGTTGCGTTGCATACCATTTTATCATTGCCATTCCCAAAGACATTGTACTGTAAAACAGCCATAAAAATGAATGAATGAAATGAGCGTATTTATTACAGTAGCAATTTTATTTACAGAACCGACGAATTCATCCAAAGAACGATACGGAAGCGATTTGCTGAATGCACGGTGTTGACTGTGGCTCACCGTCTGAACACCATTATGGATTCGGACCGCGTCATGGTTATGGACGCGGGACGCCTGGTTGAATTCGACCACCCTTACTGTCTGCTCAACAACCCAAACTCACACTTCACCAAAATGGTGAACGAGACTAGTGACAAAATGTCGGCACAACTTTACCAGATCGCGAAAGACACATACATAAAAAACGGAGGTATCGTGGAGTAGCATACGAGTGAGAGCATATCGATTAAATCGTTATTTATGTATTGATAAAGCATGTGCATATCGGCGATGGATGTATTATAAAGAACGGAATTTGTGATGAATATCTGTCGAATCAAGACATTATTTGATAATCTAAAGCTGTACTACTGATAAACGATAATCGCTGTAACACGAACTTCGTTGTGTCACATGAATATTAGCGTACTTGAGCGTACTACAATATAGAAACTATATAAAGCATGGTGCTCCCACACCTGCGCGACGAAGCTTCGGATAGCTTTGGTACTAAATTTAAGTTCTGTCATAATGAATTAGCGGGCTGCGGCTCTATGGATGCATTGAGACGATAGCTTGACTGGCGATAATTGGACTGTCTAAAAGAGATTGTGGAAAACGATAAATTTGGATAGCTAGAGGAGCGTACTTAATTCAAAGTTCGAACGCAAATTTAAGCGCATTTTAATACCTAAGCCAACCGAAACTTCGTCAGGTATTAGGTGTGGGATAAGCATCCAGAGTGGGCGGACGGCGATGACGATACGATATATCGAAAGACAATTTTAAGACTAACAGCGCGGAGTTCCGTATTCGTTAAATTTAATGTCTTAACTGATTATTAAATAAGTTTATTTATAATTGATTTTACATTTGTTCCAAAGCCGTTCTATTGATCTATTGATAATATACATTTATGATAATATATCCGACTGATACACACACGCAGCCTAACAGTTAGATAATTTGTCAAATACAAGCAAATGTGAATAATATTTTGATTAATTTGTAAGGTATGTTTCACTATTGAAATGTAATGTAATATAAAGGTATACCTAAGTGAATGATTCTGTTGAATTTAAATGTATTGTGCTGTACTTCGGAAATTAGTGCAAAAACTTTCATAAAGTAACTTACATAATTCACAAAGTAACATTTAATTTTAATTATTAGATCTGATAGTGTGTCTTGGACAATCTAAATTAACTGCATTTCATTTACCGCGATGGGATGTTACAAATGATGTTCGCTTTACAGTTAGGTACGCATTTTCAACCTAATTATAAACCTAGCAATTATTTACGAATAGGCTATAAGAAAGGAGATTGCTCAAATTGGCCCAAACGTACAAAAAATATTGACATATACGGTAATTCTTGGCGTAATTTATATCTCATTTTACAGTCATTGGATTTTAACGGACACCTTTGTATAATATATTCATTTTAACAAGGACTTTTAATTTTACCGGTTTGGAAAACATACGAATCATTTTTAATGCCTATGGATGTAGTAACATTCAGCCAAAGACTGATCAAAGTTGTTTAAATAACATCAAAACAAATCTATTTTGTAAAGATCGATAAAATACATCTTTTTTTTATTACACTGTGGTATTAATATCCACAACTATATTATCATTTTCACTACATGCAAATGTGCTAAGATAATTATTATAGATGGTAGGCCACGTCATAAAGTCTATTGCCATAAATTTTTCGCCAAACACCTCCATACGACATTATAAGGTGTCTTACACTAAAAATCTAAAATATGGTTATAGTAAAATAATGAAGCTTAGCTAACTAAATTAACGAGAGTTTAAAAATTCTGTCTAATCTGTGGCTCATTCACAATCATCACACAGTTTCTGTCACAGAGTACATTATTAAACCGGAAATGCATAAATGATACCTGATTTTAAAAGTTACTCTTGTGCATTAACTTTATGAACAGGCAACTATCTGTTAATCTACCTGTTCTATATACCTGAATCTAATGCGTGATTTCGGTACTTGGCTTCATTTCCCTAGTTTACCATATAACTTATTTGTTTTTTATTATTTTAATACCAATGTACCTATTTGCAAACATAACCTTAAAATCATTCAGTGTATATGGTTTATAGAAGTTCTCAGGGGTGTCCGTCAATAATATTCGTTTCTACAGTAATTTATATATAATTTCGAATCTACGAAACAATTTTTCATGATTATTGGTCTTTAGGCCAAACATGTATGGAAGCTGAGCAATCTCCTTTGATGAAATTTAGATCTTTGTTTGTATTTTATTTTAGGTTTTTGTTTGTATTTAAGAAATGTCTCTTTAATATTGTTGAATGTCCGACATTAATAGTGCATGAGAAGTTAAAAACAATAAGTTTACTATAAAATATCGTTCTGTAAACAACGCACATAATGAAATTCAGGGTAAAAAAGAATTTACGACAAATTTGTGTTAAGAAAATAAGAAGACGTATTTTTATCCTTTTGCATTCGAAAGTTTTATCCTATAGACTTAATATGCCCGAATTCGGCTAAGCAGGGTAATTTTTTACTGGTTTTAAGTAACTAAGTAAATGATTCGTCATTAAATACTGTGCTATGATGATCTTTGTCCCAACACCAAGTTTATTCATACGTAAGTGACGATTTGACATGTTTTAATTTATTTATTATACGTACCTAAAAGCAAAACATCATAGGTACCTACTTTATTAGTTACTAAACAATAAAAGTTGCTTCAGTGTTTTTAAAATAACATTATGCATTTATTAGTAAGAAAACAATTTATTCATTTACTCACAATTGTTTAAAATTTTATGTTCACATATAAGAAAGAACAAGTTGTAAAAGCATTGAAACATGACAGATCGTCTTTTAGATCTTGCTGCTAACGGCACCTAAATAAATAAGTTCGTATATTTTAAGGAAAGCATAGAAACTGTGTTATTTATTACGATAATAATTTGTGATAAGTCGTAACTATATCATTAATATTTGAATGTTAATGTGCCCCTACCATTGTGAATGCCATAGAGGTAAATCCTCGAACAAAATAAATTAAATATAACAAAATCGCGGTTTGATTAGATACTAGTTATTAGTCGGTAATCCCGAGATACGCCAACATATCGAATAACCGGTATCTGTAACCATTTCATCTAATATATTAACAACAGACGTACGTTCGGGTCGGGTGACACATACGGTAGGCGTATCCAGCCAGTGTTTATTTATTTAGATATTTTTTATACCTATAAATAGCCCAAAAGCCCAACTTAAAAATCATCAAGGTTAAGTTATCCAAAACTTTCGAATCTCTTCGGCTTTGGCAGTAGTTACTTCTGATTAGCTATGTCAATTTAACGTAAGATTTAATAGTCCCAGTCATATACATAAAAATATGCTGTGGTCCCAGTGTTCTTTCCTTCCTCGTATACCTTTACTTTTAATATAATACAACTCAAAGACAGAATGCTGTCTGCTTAGTAGGGTAATTAAAGTACCTATTGGGTATTAAGATATAGTCACGTTATATTGATTTAAAATATAAACACAAACAATAAATAATTATCAAATTTAATGAATAATAACTTTCTTTCGGCTTAATACAAAACTGTTGTGTCGTTTATGTTTCAAAAGCTGATGATTTCGTTGTACCCAAAGGACTCGAGATATTGCATAATATTTCTGATATTGCTGTTGATGATCCTGATAGCGTCGTGTATACCGTTACGAATGTTGATCTCGACCACTTTGATAATGATGTTGTCAAAGATCCTTGTGAACACGGTGATTACAGGGTTCACCAGCCAGTCGGTCAGGATGTTGCCAGTAAGCCGCACGCGGAGCCGGCTAGAACAAATTCATGATGCAATCTTGTAACTAGAGCTACCAAGTTTGTCATCACGCAGATATACTGCACGGATTACAAACGTAGATTTTTATTGCACGTATTTTTTTCTAATTGCATTTAACTCAAAGCGTATTTTGTAATGATTTTGCATTCGTCCTAAGTTTTGCTTTTTATGAAAATCATATCCATCCTATGTCCATGTGTCCAGCGGTAATGGCCGGTTTATATGATTCCAGTGTGCGTTCGAATCGAGTAATCCATTCCTACTATTCGAGTGTTTTGCATTGTTAACACGATTCCAGTATACAGAATGTTTGGAAAATGAGTGCAAAGCTTTAAAGGAAACCTAACAGAGACCATTTAGACCCATTTGAGCCATACTTGTCTTAGACGAAGCCTGACCACTTTATTATTGATATTATTTATCGAATTTAATGAAAAAAACCTAAAAGTACACAAAAAATAACACAAACTTTTTGTGTTTTTTTTTTTATATTCAACTAATATAATAAAAAAATAACACAAAAAGTTTGTGTCTTAAACTAAAAATTTTGTTTTATTGTTTTGCTAAAAAATACCTTTCTTTAATCTCAATTTGGTATGTAGGTCCTAGTTTCGATGATTTATAAGCTATCCACATAAATTATTCAAGATTCATTATTGAGGATTCCGGTGTTCCAATATTCAAAACTGATCGAGAGGTCATCTTTCAGCAGGATGGTTCTCCAGCCCATTAGATTTTAAATAATAATAATAATGCTTTATTTCTTCTCCTCACAATCCAAAATATAAGAGAGCATTTAAATAATTGCTTCCCTGATAGCTGGATCGGCAAAGATGGCCCAATCACTTGGTCTGCTCGGTCACCCGACCTTACTCCAATGGACTTTTTCGTGTGGGGTCGGGCCAAGGAACTAGTTTACACTCATGTGGGGATAAACACAAAAGAACAATTAATAGAAATAATAAATGCAGCATTTCAAACGATGAAACAGGAGATGATTTTGAAAATAACGAAAACGGAAGTAAGACAATGGGTCCATGCGTGTGTTGGAAATCGCGGCGAACATATTGAATACGAAAAATAAAAGATTTCAGTTGAAAATTTGTTTTTTAATTTCAAATATCTGTAGAAATTGTTTGCTGATACAGATGTTTTCAACATGCTTTCATAGATTGCTTTCACATTTTTTTAATCAAATAAAATCAAAACGAATTCATTTACCATTTCAGTTTGCCATTATTTGCAACTGTGTACTTTTAGGTTTTTTTCATCAAAATCGATAAAAAATATTAAAATGAAATGGTTAGACTTCGTCTAAGACAAGTATGGCTCAAATGTTTGTAAATGTTTCTAAATATTCTCATCTTCCAAACAGCCTGTATAACAAGATATAAGATTGAAGTTAGCACACGTTCACGTAAAAATTTAAATAAGCATTTAAAAAATATTTCCTACAAATGCTGACTGAACAGATGTTAAAGACGAAATGGTCAAAAGACGTGTTTAGGTTCGACGGTGGGCTGCTGATCTGATCACAGTGATCCTGGAGGATCTGGATTATTTTTAAAACTGCTTTGAAACGAGAACCCGAAAGAATATAATTTCGAGATGCTATATACTGAAAGTAAAATTTCAAAATCGAGTCTAATCTCAACAAGAAAAAACGTCGTTGCAGACATCACGCAAGCTGCCAGTATACTGGATAGATACTAAAATGGTCGATCATATCATTCCAGTAATATTCCAGTTAAAAAAAATATAGTGGGGATTGCTACTGAATATTAAAAATAGAAAACCATTCTAGTCGACTAGAACATATTTTTTGTATGAATATTGCAAATTGACCGACTGGATTACTGGATTCGAACGAATACTGGAATAATGTAAATAGGCTATGACGCTAGGTATTTAAATTCATAGGCATAGGATTTCGTATAAATTCCTTGTTTTTTTTTATAGACAAAAAAAATGTAAGGTAAAAAATTGAATTTTTTACTTATCATCGAAAGTATTACTTAGCCAACTTCCTTAGTATTTTATAGCTAGAGTTATTTGATCAATCGACGATAATTGATGTATTATTTATTTGATATCATTACAAATCACATCCAAGTATTTCTGCAGCGCGCACTTGCATGTGTTATTTATATACCTAGAGTAAGATATAATCTTGATTGGATAGATATAGGTAGACATCTCTTTTATTTTTTCCTTAGTATTTTATAGCTAGAGTTATTTGATCAATCGACGATAATTGATGTATTATTTATTTGATATCATTACAAATCACATCCAAGTATTTCTGCAGCGCGCACCTGCATGTGTTATTTATATACCTAGAGTAAGATATAATCTTGATTGGATAGATATAGGTAGACATCTCTTCATTCAGGTAAAAATGATTTTAAACATCGGTATTATAAAGTACCCCTCTTATAACGAAAGTAACTTTTCTTCAAGTTCCTTATGTCTGTTGTTAACACAATAGACATAATGAATTTGAATAAAAAGGCCATTTACTAAATAAACAAAGCGATAAAGGACACCCGGCATTTTGTGCAAAAGTTGTATACTTTTTTAATTTTTTTATCTGTGTTTTATAATTGGGTAACGTAGTCTGGCAATATTTGTCATCAGCAGCTAGCTGTCAATGTCAAATACGTAGGTTTGTCAATATAACCTCTATATGTAGCCGGGTCGTCAAGGGAAATAACAGATAAAAAGGCAATCACAGCAGATAACATTCACAATCACAGTACGCGGGAGCGGATGCGAAATGCGAATGATTTTTTTGCTTGTATTTTAGGATTGTCAAATTGACATTTGGTTTTTTTATTTAGAAAAAGCAAAGGAATCATGGTTTTTACAGTCACTTGAGTAATATTTTGAATTAAAATTCTGTCCCTTGAAGATTTAGGGTTTCCATTAAAAAAATATTAATCATTATATAACTTCTTTCCACGATTCACTTAAAATAAAGCAAAAGTAGTTTTATGTAGCAAATAATTTTGGCTTTATTTTGAGACCAAATTCAACTGTATACAAGTTAGGCATTTTTTCTATGAAAAGTGCCGGGTCTCCTTTTCGCCATATAGTACAGTCAATCTGTAGGTTGAGTGGTGAAAAAAAAACCTAAAGGGTAAGTCTTGTTTTTTCTGTTGCCAAATGATTTATAAACATTTTTTTTTGTATTACTTACCGTTTTCAAGTTATAAATTGCGCTCTATTGGATTTTTCATACCTGCGCAATTTATAAGTTGAAAACGGTAAGTAATACAAAAAAAAATGTTTATACAAAAGTTGTTGGTATTGGTACAACTTTGCCATTTAAAGTTTTCCATTAAAATGATATTTTCAGGGTGAAAAAGTGAAAAAACCCTTTTTTTGAGACTTTAGCGCCACCTACAATGCGCATTTTTGTTGTACGAGATTGCAACATTGACATAAATTGTAGTACTCAACGCCCTCTACAATTATGATCAAAAAAAAAAGTTTCTAAAATGCATACAAAACAAGAAAAATGCGTTTCAAAAAATTTTTTGACGGTTTTTTTGAGTTTTTCAAAAAACGCCTACGAGTTGAACATGCCCATCGCCAAGGTGGCTTACTGACGTCATTTGGCAACAGAAAAAACAAGACTTACCCTTTAGGTTTTTTTTTCACTGAAACGATATTTTTTTCGACAGATTGACTGTACTAATATCTTACATACTCATTCTGAATTGATTGAAATGAATTCTGTATCTAACGAAATATAACCGCTACAGTGCTTTAATCAACAAAACTTGTTCACCGAAGCCATTGTGTGTAAAGTGTTCGATGATGATGATGAAAAGGCCTTCGAAGTGACTTGCAAATATAAAGCTATTAATTGAAAAAAAAAATTTTTTTGCAAGTTGGAGGTGATTGTCATTTATTTTTATTTTTTATTTATTTATTGAATTTCACATTACTATAAATAATAACAATACATTTAGCCAGTGCTACAAAAACCTGTGTAGGTTTTACCGAGCACTGGGATTCGTCATCTTTTAGATCTTTTTTTTTCGCATCTGCATCTACCCTCTTTCTACGAGTTGTCGGCGGTCTCCCCGAACAAAGCAATGAGTTTATTCACACGGGCGGGTTCCCCATCAGATTTTACTAAATACTGTTACTCTATTATGGTGTTGAAAAACATTAAATTTTATTCTTGATTTAATAACTGTGAGCAATAATATCCTTTTAGTACGTTCTTAATATTAATTTCACTAATTTCTTTTTTTACATGTATTGGTAATTCGTTAATTAACTTGGGTATCTGAAACTGTAATAATTGCCTACCATAATGATTATTGTATCTTGGGATATTGAATGTAATGGCTGATGCACTACGGGTTTGCTTACTGTGCTGCTTTATAATACGAAAGTTTTCATTAAAATAGTTTTCTGAGATCAGATTAGATTTGACTTGATCGTGTACAGGCAAAACGTTACAGTGGTAGAAGAGTTCATTTATATTGTTTTTGAATTTAAGTTCTGCTTAGGTAGGCACTACTGAGTTTTAATTACCGCGCATTATTTGAGAAAATTACTATAGAAGTCTTGGCCACAACTAGACACTGGACTTACGTACATGGGCCGAGACGAAGCCGAGGTTCATTTACACGTTCGTCCATCATTGCCTCTTTTGCTGGCCGCTGCAGTAATGTACTACAACTACGCAAATATAGCTCGCGGCAATCTTTCTAAGCAAAACCACAGACAAATAAACTTGCGCAGTACATGTTTTTGTAGGTAAAATTGCTACTGCTCAGTCTATGATCGTTATTCAAGAAGTATGCGGAGATGATTACCAAATATATCTAAAATTTGCAGTCAAAAGAAGTCTTTGTTCGATAATGTTATCTTACCCTATATCGGTGAGTGAGAATTGTTGGAGGTGAAGCTCGTCGTTATTGAAATCAATGAGTAAATCGAAGATCACCACGAAGCGGTTCAGCGAGCCGATGATACCACCAGTTGGACCGATTCTCATCACTTTCACCAAATATTTGTACACAAACTGCAAAAAAAAACAGTCATTGTATTGGTAACGCTAAATCTCTCCATAATTTTTATTAAGTTTCATCATAACCCATGATGAAAATCATGTCTCTCTTATTGGACTGAAAACAGAAGAAAAACAGAATGCGCCAGTTACTGCCTTTTCCAGTGCAGATAGTAAAGCAAAAAGTATGTAACCGCGCGCCCAAGAAGACGGAAAGCGTCATTTCTGTTATAGGCATTACTTATGACATAACTACTATCTGTCGTGTTGTGTTATAACATGACGCATCAGAAAGCTATTTGTTTCTTACATTTAGTATGGTTAGAGTGAAAACGGTGTCGACACATCGCAACACACAAGTATAGTTCCAACCGTACTAAATTTATGAAAGCGATCGCGTCAGATCGCGTCACAACACTAGACGACAGATAAGTATATTTTTGCTTCTTTTCGACTACAAACGACAAGGTGTTGTCAAAATCTATGCGAGAAATCAACATTGGCAAGTTTAGGGAAAATACATTCAAGGTGACGGGAGCCGATCTTCTGGCTACTTTATATCATGTCGTAAAAGTTATAGATTTTTATAGCTTTGCCTATCGACGGAGAAAGTTTTAAAAAAACTGTTATGTAGTTATAAGGCCGCGGCCGCACTACTAAGGTGACTGCGACGCGACGGCGATTTCGTGAAAACTAGCTCCCATACATACATGGCAGTGGCCGCACTACAGACGTTTCTGTTTATATTGGGCCGTCGTCGCATCGTCGCGTCGCCGCGTCGCGTCGCTTCGCTTCGCTTCATTCACCGTTGCCGTACCAGTGCGACCTCGACCTATGGCTACAAAATGAACTGGCGATATGTCCCTATAGTTACCGGGACGCTTACGACCAATACCATAATATATAAATCTTTATTTAAGAAAAGACATTACATAAAAACAATCAATCAGTTATATGGTGTCGTCAAAATGTAGCCGTAGTAAATAGAAACCTGTGCCTTTGATCTGTACGTATATCTTTTATAAACTTTTACTAATAAACATCGATACTTTTCGTCTTTTGCTTTCCGGCATTACTTTTATTTAGTAGTCGTAGTAAAGGGATAAAATTAGATAATTAGCTTATTTCTAGATACCGAACTGGCGACGCGTTCATGAGAAAAGAGGTAGTAACTTTAAAATTTTCAAAAATATTTTTTATTATACGATGTTACTAAAAATTTACGGTTTTCGCAATTTTTCCTTTATCTGTACTCGTATAAGACGTTACTTCGTACCGAATTTCAAGATTCTAAGTTCACGGGACCCTATAGGTTTTGTTTCCCGTGTGAGTTTCGAAAATTTGCGGATATTTGCGGCATAAACGGCTGAATCTTTTGATTACTTTGGCTTAGAAGTTTGATTTTTTCACAGCTCCAAGGGACAGTAGACATGAGTGTTAGATATGAATTTCAGTTAGTTTGATACCTCCAAGCGTTCCTGAGAAAAACGGTTTTGACAGACGGACGGACGGACGGACAACAAAGTGATCCTATAAGGGTTCCGTTTTTTCCTTTTGAGGTACGGAACCCTAAAAATAAAATAGAGAAATTTCCTACTTCTAGGTTCCTGAATTGTAGTTGAACACGAACACGCAGCATTTTGGCGAAGTAGTTAACCCTCTGGTCGCCGGAGCGGGCCACGTTGACGAGACCAGTCATGTAGCCATCGTGGATTCTCAGCCATGCGCTGTAGGTAATCAGCACTGGTCTCTACAAAAGAAAATATATTCTAATAGACAGACTGAGTAGTTCACAAGACGCCATACTATAGATACCTACCCGTTCATCACTCGTCAGTCAGCGAAGCTACTTTACGACACTATGAAGCAAGATCTCAAAACAAAACATAATATTCGTAAGTATGTTCCTAGTTAATGAATTCGACAAATTATTTATACCATATAAATTATAAAGCAGCAGTTAAAAGCGAACTCTGAGAATAGTGTCTATATACATACGACTTCGAAACCCTCCTCAACATCTGGCAGGCTCATTGGGTCAAAACCATGCTCTCTCATGAAGGGGACTATCATATGAATAGTCTTGTCAACATAATCGTTAACGTCCGCGTGAAGACCCAATCCATCCCAGGTCCTTCTGTAAAGAGGAATTAAGTACCAATAATATTATTACTACTGGCTACAGCTACAACCTTCATCTCCCGTTTTTACCCCAAATAGTAGGAAGGCCAAGCCGGGATTTGTGATTTACTCGAGCGCGACAGATTAACATATGGGGGGCTACCTAGCACCTTGTAAAGTACTCCCACCATACCTGAGCCCTTTATATAGGGTCGAACGTATAGGACAGCAAAAAAAAATTCAACATTTGGCCTGACTTTTAGTCGTGTCCAAAACGTCAGTCTTTTGAATCGGCGCTACTGAAGAGATCACGTGACATTCCGTCTCATATCCCTATCCTTGTCTACCCTTACTTCGGTCACACCCACACCTTGCAAACCGGCAGATTTATATTATTCCGTCATCAGAAACCTTACGTGAGTTAGCTCCAGAAGCTCCTATTCAAAACACTGACGATTAGGTCGCGACTAAAAGTGATGTCCAATAATTGAAATTTTTTTGCTGCCCCAGACGGTAGACTCTTTATAAAGGGCTCAGGTATGGTGGGAGTACTTCACAAGGTGCAAGCTTGTCACCCATATGTAATTCTGCCGCGCTTGGGTAAATGCTGAAACCCCGCTTGGGCTTAAGTTATAAGCTTACCTGGGTTTGAAGCTGTAAGTTTAGTCTTTTTCAACCCCTCAGGGAATGAATTTTCAAAAAAAGACATTGAACATTCATTGATTACCATAAGCTGAATATATATAGGTACTACTGTAATTATCCGGTACCTATCTCAGCGCCATAAAGCACAATGAAGATAGAAAGTTAATTTTATATGAAAAATTATGTCTACTTACTCATCTTTAAGGAGCTTTGTTTGGACCGAATTAGCCACGTTGCTGGCCTCTGCGGCAGCCACCAATAGGGCTAACAAAATAGCTGTGCACTTCTTGTTCATTCTAGCAACAATCACTGCTGACTATAGCGATTGAACGTGGTAACTTGTTTTATACAATATTTAACTCTAACGATAATTATAAGTATAATATCATATCATGACAATTATTACAAATCAGTGGAGATAATCTGCAGATTAAAAACTAATAATTATGATAGGTAGGTGCGACAAAAACAAGCTGCGGGCTAGATAATAAAGACAGAAGACAAGAAAAAAAAAGATTAAGACATATGAACTATGAAATATATAACTATGAAAGCAATTAATCTATTATCCAAGGTATTAGTAGTTAAACTACGCACCCAGTCAGCGCATACGTAAGGAAACTTCACAAAAACAATCAACGGCACTATGGCCTCTGGCTAAAGCCAACGCGCTCCTCCAAATGGTCAAAAAATTATTTTGATTTGATTTAGGTATTTTTGTACTTATTGAGCATTTTAACCTCCTTGCCTCTACCACCTGACGCTTTAAGCGATAATTTATTGTGTTATCTTCACCAGCTGGCTTGGTTGATGTTATAATCAAAAGTTGATTACTAAGATATATATATATATATATCTATCATCTTGCTGATCATGTTGCGTCTTATATGGCGATTTTTGCTATTGATCCTGCGTCCGACCGACTTGATGCGCCCGGTATACGGACGCAAGATTAACCTAGCCTCATTTTTTGTGCAAAGATGTCTTTTCATGCGTAGAATGCATGGGCAAAAATTTGGCGTGGACTCAATTTCATCACCAGAATGCTTTTTAACGTATTTCATAGTTCAACCATTGACCGTGCGGAATTTGGAGGGCGCTACCGTGCAGTGTATATTTTGCAATGTATATTTCGGGTTCAATTTACAGATTTTATTGCGTCTTCCTGTATATATTTGAAAAAGTTTTTATCAATTCTCTACGATGATCATCATGCATCCAGTAGGTATCTTTATTTGCGAGATCGCGCGACACAGGGAGCCGTTTCGGGTGCATGGGAGAGACGAAACGGGGCGTCTTACAAGTCGCGTGTGTTTGTATACAGATCCGTGCTCCGTGAAATATATCGAGCGGCAGCGGAAGGTCTAAAAAAAATCAATTTATTTTATAAAACTTATAATTAAATACAATTACAATAAAGAAATGAGACTCGTCCGATGGTAGGTACAAGAATGCCTTGCGAAATTGCCACGATGAGGTGATCGCTGCCGTCCGCTGGTCACGTTGCGCGGCGTCAGCGACTCGTGCACTTGGTGTCGTTCATGTTCATCGAGGTCGTTGCTTAATTGGCGAATTCCCTATACTAGCTCTGCGTAACACCTCCCCCCGTAGTACAGCGACTATTGAAGACTTTTGTCGTAAATTGAGCTGGAAGCTGCTTTGCATCGGATCTTGACGCGCTGGGAATAGCGTAGACTCTCGGAGTTCTGGGATGAGTTGCTTGAGATTTATCTGTTCCATCTTTAGCCTTTCTTAGGTACTGACGATACACTATGATGCCAATTAGCACACATGCGCCGAATAGTAATACATACATTGGGATAGTTGTGTGATACAGACTGTATTCGTTGTAGCTGGCTGGTTGTAACGGAGTCTGTAATGCTATCTTAGAATTGGCTGCGTGTAGATGATCTAATCTAATTGAGGTCAATTTGAGTAGAGGTATCGTTGGTGATATGAAGTTAGTTTTCTCTGGAAGGTCCATAATCTTCATAGCTTGTCCTTTTATGCGATCCTTAATGTTGGTGATTAGGAACTCCGGTGTCTCGACGTAGCATTTGTGCGGAATCATAATGAGGTAGCTACCTTGGAGTATCCGATGTAGATCTTGACCGCAGGATAGATGTACCTTTGTTGGCTTCGGAAAGCTGATGGTGTAGTGTTTGTCGTCGAGCTCCTCGAAGGCTGGATTTTCCAGTGAGACTGTAATCGGGTTACATACGGGACTCCTTTGTTGAGTGATGATGAGTTGGTGAATGCATTCTGGAGATGATCGGCTTCCCTGGTTCTGCATCATTTCGCATAGATACCCTTTGCTCGTCTTCGGGCATTCTGCCTCTATGTATTTGAAATCTTTCGAGTGTACAGCAAGGAATGGGGACAAAGGACTAAGGATCTCGTGATTCTTATTTGGTATAATAGATAATTTATATAAACTATAGATATCGGGCATAATAACGGGGAATTTATATACTATAACAATATTATTTCCTACATAATACGAACCTACTTTAATTATATCATAGTATTCTCTAATATCTAAATCTATTATATAACTGTTACCGTACAATGCTTTAATTTTACTAATTAGATCTCGAATTGACTCGGGGCTTATAAGCGAATGGTGCAACATTGAACTTTTAATAAACGCTAGGTTACTTTGCAATTTGGTTATCTCTTGAGATATCGAGTCGACGTTATCTCCTAAGATGAGAAATACTTGGGCTAAATGTGCATACTTTATTAAGTCGTGATCATTAGATGCTAAGCTATTCCTAATTTTGTCAACGTATGTTTCAATTTTATTCTGATTGGAGACTATGCTATCGATAACCTTTGAATATCGAGATGACCATTCCTTCGTTAAGCTTACATGGTTGTTTAATTCAGATATTATAGCGTTTTCTTTATCCTGCAGGCTTTTGATAGCATTATTATAATGTAACGCATCTGTATAGTCTAGGTTACCTGTTATACTTTTTACTACAGACCCTAATCCGTCTATAAGCCCTCTTTTAACACGGTTGGTTTCAAAAGTTAATAATTGCTTAGATAATGTTTTGAGTTTACTTTTTAAATAGTTAATATGGGGTTCGAATAGCGAGGAAGTGCTATTATTTGTTAGATCGGGACTGATACTGACAATTTGATCATTTATAGAGATTATTTTACTTTGTATATCTTGAAAATCTACATATTGTAGGAATGAATGGTGTGCAGATACGACATTAGCAGGGCCTAGTTTGAAAGGTAACAACCCGGGTCCATCGTCCAGACTCTCAAGTTTTATCTCCTGCGTTAGTACTGGTTGTAGGAAGATCAGTAGGGCCAGTAGGATCCTGTAACAATTGCGCGGTTTTAGGTACTCGTTTAAGACGGGATTTGGCGACAGGGCCACGTTTTTTCCTAGTGTATATATGTATCGGGAGATCTGCCATAACTACATCCTTAGTATACCGTGGAGCAAGCTTCTGACGAGAGGCAAACGGATTCTGTATAAAAACCTGTTGCTCAGGGGAGTACTCAGCCTCGACTTCGCGACCTTTGTTTCTATTCTCCATTATCTCCTGACGGTGTGAGATGCCAGATTCATGGATTAGATTATAGACTTTTTTCATCTTATTTCTATGGTCCGTAACATACTGTTGTAACAAATGTGTTGTAAGATCTATATCAAAAGGGTCGCGCGGATCGAAATGACCCGTAACTACCTCGATTGGTCTGCATTTGGTGAAGCTGTGTATGGTACTATTGTAAGCCAGAAGGGCGTATGGCATGAGATTTATTACTGACTCGGACTTTTTATCAATTTTTAGAATGCGGAGATGTTCTAATATAGTCGAGTGAAACCTCTCTACAATACCGTTTTCGTTAGGAGCATGCGGTGCTACGCGGTGATGCTGAATTTTATGTAATCGGGAGAATTCTGCAAAAAGTTGATTGCTAAATTCGGGACCATTATCCGTAACCAGAGTAATTGGAAGAGAATGATGCGTACAGTACTGTAATAGTGCTTGCACGACACTAATAGCTGTTCCGTCTCTCAGATAGTAAGCTTGTCCGTATTTGGAGAAAGCATCTACAATAGTTAGAAATTTTTCGCTTTGGATTGTTAGTAAATCTAGTTGAACTAACTCGAACGGCTTGGCTGCAGGTGGAACTATACGATACTGTTGCTTGATGGGGTTGCGGTCATACTTAGCTTGACCGCAAACTGTGCATTCATTGATGAACTTTACTATCTGCTGACGCATTTTTGGCCAATAATACTTGTGAGAGAGTGCTAAATAGGTTTCATTGATACCGCGATGGTTAGTTTTACCATCATGATATTTATTAATTATATCTTGCTGTCTGAGATACTCTCTGACGTTTTCTAGTTCGCGTTTGGTAAGCATTAAATTCATAGCGGAATTCTTAAAAGTTTTTTTGTATAATAGGAACTATTGCGTACATGCTTTCAGGCGGATTTATCAACAGACCGGTCTTAATTTTTGGATGGACATATTCTTTAATAGCATTAGTTACATCTGTTTCGAGATTTGACTCTGAAAGCTGAATAGATATGCGTGTATGTGTCTCAAAAGGCTTCGTTATTTTAGTGCGCCCTTTGATGTCCCCAACTATATTAAGAATTATCTGCTTAGAGAATTTATTCAGGGGGTCATCTGTGATTGGGACTTCTAATATGGGATTTTCTTCTTCTGTATGTACTGTGATGATTCTGGAATCATCCAAGCCTGGAGCTGTGATGGTTCTAGAATCATCGAGAGAGGGAGCCTTTTCTGTAGGGTTTACGACAATAGAGCTAATTTCGTCATTATTTATAGACAGGGCATCCGCGTTGGTATTAGATTTGCCCTGTTTATAAATGACTGTGAAGTCGTATTCACTTAATTTTAAACGCCATCTGGTTAGACGCGAGTTGGGCTCTTTTAAGTTCATCACCCATTGTAAGGGCTTGTGATCGGTTAAAATTTTAAATTTACGGCCAAACAGGTAGGGCCTGAAATACTTTGTGGCCCAGACTATAGCTAAAAGCTCCTTCTCAATGGTACTATAGTTAAGTTCGCTTGAATTTAGCGTTCTAGACGCGTACGCAATGGGCTTGTCGGAGCCTATGGGACCCTGGGATAAGACAGCACCTATAGTTACATTTGAGGCATCAGTGGTTAACAAAAAATCTCTAGAAAAATCCTCGAAACAAGTGATATATTTTTCATCTAAAGTTATTTTGACACCCTTTTTTAAGCATTGTGTAAGAGGTTTGGTTAACTTAGCAAAATTCGGAATAAA